TTGATCCCCAGTAGGGGTCGTGCAGGAGGCAGCTAACGTTGATGTTTCTCTCTCCCTCCCTTTCCCTTCTCTAAAATCAAGAACGAATATATATATATATATACACACATACATACACACACATATATATATATAGTTATTGCTTACGAGGAGGCGACCGCCACACAGGTCTCCCTGCGGCCCTACGGCCATGTTTAGTCCCTGTTGGAGTATCTTCATGTTTCATATTCATGGCAGCTTTCTTTATGCAAAAAGCACTCTAGCTGATAGTTTTCCCAGAATACCAAGTCTGGAGGTTGGGCTGATGGGCGTTAGCGCTGTTTGTCACCTGGCTGCCCTGAGGCTTCTGCACCTTCTTTTCTGGTTTCTCCTCTCCCTAAGCCCGTCTCCAATCGACTGTGTCTGTGTTTTCTGTGGGAACAGGTGGCACGGGTACCACAGCAGGGGGTGTAGGGGTGATGTGTGCATTGTGTTCCTGCCCTGATAGACACTTCTAAGAGAACCTCCTGGTCATAAAACCACAATTTGAAAACCATTGCACCTTATGCCTTCTTATTATGTCCCCCATTTCAAACACAGGGGGAGGCAGGTGTCTGCTTGTCTCAGTGTCTTAGCCCAGAGATATCAATGTGATGGTGTAAATTTCACTCCCAGGGGAGCGATTGATGGAGGTGAGGTGCATATTTTTAGTCAGATGAGCCTTCTGACTGTGGCAGCACCCAAGCCACTGTGGTTCTATTGATAAAAGTAATGGGTGACACATGGCTTGGCACCTGCACATGTGATGTGCTGAAGAATCTCCCGTTTAGGAACAGATGAGGAAACTGACTCTGAAGAAGCTGTGTCTGACCTTCTTACCTTCCCTCCCAATTTGTCTTACAGTTGAGTCTATATCACTGTCAGAATGATCATGTCTGTATCCCTTCTGTGGCCTCCCATAGTCTTCAAGGTAATATCCAGACTTTTCTGTGGTCCTCAAGGCCCCATACACTCCTCACACTTCTCACTAAAATCCACCCAACCATGCACACACACACACACCCGTCACTCCAGTGACCACTGGCAGCCTGCAAACCCCCCCCCACACACACACACACACCCACATCGTCTTCTGCTCTCCGGCTCCTTAGCTGAGCCTTCCCTCACCCCTTCTTCGCCACGGTCAGCCCTCCTTGGCCTCCAGCTTCACTGCACACCTCCTTGGGCATGGCAGTGGCCATCCGCCGTGTCCATAGTGGTCTGTGGCACACGTGGTGAGGACGGTCCTGACTGCTGGCGGTGCATTCGTGGAGGGTCCATGCTCTCATGCCTACCTCAGGAGCCTGACACCTCTGCTGGGTAATGACCACCACTGCCCACTGTGTGACAGATTCAGGGGCACTTTGTCACTGGCCTCTAGCACTGTGTGTATCTGCATACACACTCAAGTATTTGGTATGTATGTCTAAAAGATAAGTACCCTTGGTTAAACAAAACCACACAATACCGTGATCACACTTAAAAGTTAATATTTCCTTAATATCTTCAAATGCCCAGTCAGGTTCAAATATCCCTGATTGTCTCATAAGTGTTTTTTTTTTAACACTTTAAAATATTTTTCTCTTTATTTTTTCTGCTTTATTATTTAACTCATTTTTAAATAATTTCAAACTAATGAAAAACTTGCCTTCCTTCCTTGCAGTTCTAACTCTAACCTGGGCCCTCAACTCTCAGCTTTGGCCTCTGCCCTAACAGTCCCTTTCCTTTATTCCTCTGAACACATGCACCCGAGAACCACATTTGCCATGCAGGGTCAGCTGTCTAGGTGTTTCTTTGCACGTTTATCCCCCAAATGAGTTCTTGGAAGATGTTTCATTGACACTCCAATGCCCCAAAAGTCATTGGCATACGATGCTTATGAAATAAATGTTGAGAATGACTAGAGATTTTAAAATTCCCTTTCCTTCACATGTTCATTAGGGTCTTATATTAACCTCCAGGTATGAAGGATGGGAAATCATCATCAGCTCACCATCTGTTTCTCTGAGCGGTCCCAGGTGTTATGAGAATATGGGGAAAGAGCAGATTAAATTCAACTAAGAAAATTAGAAAACTTAAGATATTGGCTTGAATTGGACCTTTAATATAGTGGGTCTTCCCTGAGTTGATACTGGTTTTGGGAAAGAGCACCCTGAGCAGGGCTGAGTTGCAGCCCATGCAGGGCACACCCCACTGTGGGGTGACTGAGGCTGCACAGAGGGAAGATGGGGAAGAGGTGAGGAAGGTAACAGGACCGACCACGTCGTGCACGTCTCTGAAAGCCAAGCAGACACCTTTGGACTCCTGACGTGAACCCCCAGCAGGAGGGAGTCTGAGGAAGCCTACGCCTCAGCACCCCAGCTGGATAGGAATGAGGCGTTGCAAAGGAGGTGGGAAGGTGGGAGAGGTAGGGATGGACGGCTTTGTCAGTCCTCCTAAGGATAGAGTTCACGGAACTACAAAGTACAAGGGAACAGCAGTACAAGGGAGCAGCAATGATGAGAAGCTTGAAGTCTAACTTGAGTGGGTGTTGGAATGTGAGCAGTGGAATCTGTAAATGTAAGGGTCTTGGTGTCAGAGACACTTCCATTTTGTAGGCAGCCCCAACTGCACTCTCATGTTTGCACATAACACATGTAATAGTGTTCACAATTGTGACTCTCTCCCCAAAGTGCAGCAATGAAAAGGAAATCAGGGGACCTTGCCTGTGTGTACATCACCAGCAGGGTTGCCTATGCCTGAGGCTTCCATGCTCCCCCATTGCTCCCCTCATCCTTCTGGTCACCCCAGTGGGAGTCTTGGAATCCCTGATGACTCAAACAGAAAATGCACCTCTCAGCTTCAAACGTTCCAGTGGCAGGTCCTCCAGTTGAACTGTGATCCTCCCTCAAGCCCTCTCCTTCCACAAGTGTCACCTCTAAGACATGGACACCCCACAGCACCTCCCTTTAGGCAAAGCTATCTTAGCGCTCTCCCACGTGTAAATGGCACATAGTCGGCGTTGAGTAAATTTGTTATTTCATGAAGATACCATTTCTAGACTCTTCTCTGCCCAGCCATCCTAGTCATCAGTGTCTGAAGATGTTTGGCCCAAGGAGGACTCATGTACCCTCTTTACCCGTCCAGGGCCCTCCACCCTCTTTGGGCCTCAGTGACCTGGTCTCCTCGATGGAGAATGTTCTTTAATCCTGTCACACCCTCCCTGGGCCCAACACCGGCCCAGCGGCATCATCCACTTCACTCCTGCAACAGCCTCAGCTGCGCCTAACCCTCTCTACCCCTCCCCTTCCTGCTGCTCCTGCTCACTTGCCTAGACAGTCCCAACATCTTACCTGGAAACCTCTCAACCTGACTGATGCATTTAGTCATTAACAGTGAGGACTAGTCCACAGAACCAGTCACTTGAAGGACCTGTGCAAGCACAGGGGTCAGAGGAGCCCTGGCCAGGCCCTGGGACGCCTAAGGTACTGCAGCCTCGCTGCTGCCAGGGGCAAACAGTAAAAGGAATGGAGGAGAAACGATACACATTTCAAGTTCAGGATTCAGAAACTTTTTTAAAAAATACATTTTATTGATTTTTTACAGAGAGGAAGAGAGAGGGACAGAGAATCAGAAACATCGATGAGAGAGAATCATCCATCAGCTGCCTCCTGCATACCCCCTACTGGGGTTGTGCCCACAACCAAGGTACATGCCCTTGACCGGAATCGAACCGGGACCCTTCAGTCCACAGGCTGACGCTCTATCCACTGAGCCAAACCAGTTTCGGCGAGGATTCAGAAATTTTAAAGCACCTATCAGTTTTTCCATTTATTTCAGGCTCCCATTGGTCAGCACTTTGGGGGTCTTCCTGCACTGGCACATGATAGGTCTGCAAATGGGGGTGTTGCTTGAGTGGTTGGAGAAGTCGTAGCTCTGATTCTGAGATTTTAGGGTCCCCAGCACTCAGCTCCAGAAGAAAGAAAAACATTCATAAGACAATCACACAAGTTTTAAGTGGGCAGACTAATGAAAATGAGAATTTGGAGTCATGGCAATCCTGTGAGAAAGAGGGATAATCCCACCCTCTGAAAAGAGAAATTAAGGAGGAGTCCTAGGCCCAGTTCATGGCTTCCTTGCTTTGGGGAGGAGGAGGTGGGGGTAGAGGAGCCTGGGGTTCCTCTTGTTGCCCCAGGGAGTACCAGACGCGCTGCAGGGCGGCAGCAGGCTGTATGCAGATGTTTGACATCTGGCCCGTGGCATCTGACTTGAAAGTAGGAGGCCTGGATCAGGATGAAGATGACAAAGTTTAAACCTTCCTGCACTTTTCAAATGTCCCAGACTGGCCAGGCCTGCCATTCCCTGATGTCACTTCAGCATCTTCACAGAGGAGGGCACGTGGACCCTGACAGATGGACACAGGGCTCACGTGTGGCCTTCTGGACAGGGTTCTCAACGCTGCCTTTGCTCCTGGCGGTTTCAGCGGCCAGGTGACCAGTGTCTGCATGGTCTCGTGTCCAGGTCAACCAGCCCCATGCAGAGTGGCCTGACCAGGGGACCTGTGTGGGCAGAGCCAGGAGGGATGGAGCAGAGACAGTTCTGCTCCAGGGCAGCCCCTTAGAGTTGGAGTTGGGCCTGGCACAGGGGCGTGTCTGATCACACTCCCTGGTGTGTGGGTCACCTGTTGGTGCATGTGCACAGTGTAGAGGTTATTTTTCTAAGGGCACTAGTTAAGAGCCTGATTTAAGTCTTTGGGATCTGTAGATCCGAGGCTCACATGGACACTACCTGGGATCAAGCGTGCGGCTAACCTTCTGCTTCGTGTGAGCGGTGACCTCGGCGCTTCCTATTGGTGCTCCCCTCCTTCGCCAGTTTGCACTCTGACCCTATGCACAGTGACTGGAGCTGTTCACGGAACCCAGGGCACTGACCCGGTGTGCAAAAGCTGGCAGTGACCCCAAAGGCACTGCCTAAGCTGGCACTGACCCCTCCTCTCCCCGCAGGCTGTCCTACGACCCCACCCGCTACCCTCGGCTCCTGCCGGAGGCCTACTGCCTGTGCCGCGGCTGCCTGACGGGGCCGCGCGGGGAGGAGGACCTCAGCCTGCGCAGCGCGCCCGTGCTGCTGCCCACGGTGGTGCTGCGCCGCACGGCGGGCTGCGCGGGCGGCCGCTCCGTCTACGCGGAGGAGTACGTGGCGGTGCCCGTGGGCTGCACCTGCGTCCCCGCGCCCGACCGCGACGCGCCAGCGCCAGAAGCGGACCGCGGCGGGAGAGCGCGGCACCAGGAGCCCGGCCGCGAGGAGTGGGACCGGGGCCTCCGCAGGCCTTTCCGCGCAGGAGCCGGACAGTGACCTGGGCCGGCCTTCCCGGGCCGCAGGGGGCCCTCTCCGCCGGCTTCTGTAGGCGGAGTCGGTGCCCCATGGGCCTGGAAGGAGTTGGCCTCAGCAGGGAGCGGCCGCCCCTGAGGCTCCGGACCCGCCCACCGCCCACCGCTGCCAGGACAAGCAGGCCACACGTAGGTGATAGATGAGTTTCATACTTTTTATAAGCATATAAAGCTACTTATTTTCAATAGGGGCAGAAACTATTTTTATATTAGTGACTTAATATTAAAACTTTTACTTGCATGTTTTATTAACCTTGTTTTCACTTCTGCTAGCTTGTAGCACAGTTGGAATCCTCAGATAAACTATAACGGGTGCTATGTCCCTAGTCTCTGCAGCCAGCCTGCCCCCATTGCTGGCACCACCAGATGGACAGGGTTGAACCCGACATGCCCAACGGGCAGGCCTCAGTCTCCAGGAGCTGCTCCTGGGATAAAAGGGAAGTATCATCGGCTCAGGCACTCTAGAGCCATCCCAGAAATCCTAAACTTGGGCGTCCTTACTAGCATACCAATGGCTGCAGGCTCACTGAATTAAAATTTCTTTTTCACTTTTCAAAGTCAGTGGGCCAATTTGTAGGTGACAGGTGGAACATGACTTCTTTGCCAACTCCCAGGAACCTAACTTGGCTGTTTGAAGGGCCAAGTCACATGTGAGGGGGAAATGAGCTTACAATTTCCAGAAAGCAGTACTGAGCCTCTTTTTCTGTATGTTGCAGTGTGAGCTGAGCCCTTACTTCTTTAGCCTGGAAGTCTGTCCCTGAACATGACGACTTGCCAGGAGGTACTTTTTAAACCTTTAGAACGGTTGCTGGTGTAGGTATATTGCTTGTGTGTATTTTTTCTCATCAGCTCAACTTTGTTTCAGAGGAAACAATACGTTTATTAAAGTCTTTATCTTAATTTTATGGTGGAAGTTTAAGATTATTTGTCTTAGATCAGGTAATCACATACAATCTCTCTGCTCTCCTGTGACGCCCACCCAAGCCGAAAAGTGCCCTTTCTTCATGTGTTTCACTCCCAAGTTTCAGAAGCACAGTTTGGCTGCCTGAGTCACCATCAGTCTTCATTTGATCTGGACGCAAGTTCACTAAGAGGGCTTTGTCTGTTGACAGAAGTTGTGCATGAAAACACCTTGCTGAACAGAATCGGGATTTTCCAAGCTGCTGTGAATAGTTCCTATAGTTTGTGGTGGTATCTCTATAGTATGTTGTCCAGAAACAATAGCTTCAGAGCAACTTTTGTTGCTAGTTCAGATAACAACAGTCCACTGCCCTGGCAGGCACCTCAGCTGGTTAGAGCAGCAGTTGCCAGCGTGGTGCACAGACCACTGGTGGCCCATGATCCGAACAGTTGGCGTCCGCTGGGTCAGAGCATTGTCCGAACGTTAGGAAGAAACTGGCTTTTCATTCTAAGATTATAAAGGTAACTTTTGTACTTTTTCTCTGAGTGGCACATCCATCCACTTAACTATTTATTGAGCACTTGCCCTAGCACCTAGCAATCTCAAAAACACACAGCCCCAGTGACTCAAGAGTTACACTGAGAATAAGTGGTATCCAGCTCTTATGTGAAGTGTTTATATTAATTCTAAGTGCCTGTTTATGTGTATGTTTGTTTTCAAGTATAAAAGCTAAGTTTAAAATGAAATCTACCCATGCCCTGGCCAGGTAGGTCAGTTGGTTATTAGCACGTCGTCCCAATATACCAAGGTTGTAGGTTCGATCACTAGTCACAGGGCACACACAGAATCAACCAATGAATGAATGCATAAATGAGTTGGACAACAAATCCATGTTTATCTCTCTTCCTTCCTGCCTCCCAATCTCTCTCAAAAACCAATAAATAAAAACTGAAAGAAATAAAAACGAAATCTATCCCTAGATAGCAGCAATTAGAGATAATATTTTGAAATTAGAGGGCAGTGATCCATTATGGGGAGATACTGCTTCAATGAATAGTTTATTGAACAGAATTTTGTTCTCATTAAAATTAAAGTTTTTTATTTTGGAAGGGAAGGGTCTAGTTTGTTTTAACAACAACGGGAAATATACTGGCTAGAGAATTATGCCACCAAAATTCAAGTACATCTTTCCTCCTGATCTTGCTAACATTGTTAACACATTTGCATCTTGCTGATTCTGGCAAGTACAATAAATTCGGGCAGCATTGGATTGTAAATTTCATAGCTTCTTCCCCTCCTCTTAAAAAGTGCCACCATGCCTACTTTTCCTTCAAGTAATTCTATTTTGAGGGTTTCATGGCAACTCTCAGAATGGAGGTATCTTACTGGTGATTGAAGATTTTTTCCAACAGACAATATTTCTGTTGTATGTTTATTTTGTAAAAATGGCATCATTCGGTAAGAGCCCCCAAAGGACTGGCACCTGCCGGCTGTTCCACATTCAGAGGCCAAAGACCCAGACTTCTGGTAGGACTGGGTTCCTTTTATTAAGGCAAAAGGGACAAGCGGTCAGTTTTAGTAACTGGTTCATGCTCAGACTGCAGGAAGGAAAGGAACGAGCATGGGATTCTCATCTGAAATGGGGTTTCATTTCACACACACTTCATCTGCTCTTGCACACAGCTGATAACATGGAAATCTCTGAGTTGCTAGCAGAACTGCAATTATTAACCCTCCCCTTTCTACTCACATCATGGCTGTCCTGGTGTAAATGCAAACTTTTGAATTAGGACGGACTTACAAAGATGTCTTTTAATCATCCTCTGAGATTTTTGCAGTTCTGTGGTAAAAATGTCAGAAATGAGTCACCTCCTAAGAACCCCCTGCTTACAGACAGACTTAAGAGCATCACCCAGCCTTCCTTGCCAATCAACAGCTGGTGGCCATGAGCACCCTACCTGCCAAACAGAGAGGAACACACCCAGGCCTAAGCCAAGCTTTTCAGGTTGCCAGGATACAGCTACAAGTCACTCTTAAAGTCCAGACACCAACCAGAAACAAATATGGGCTTGTTAAAACGGAATCACAAGCCCTGGCCAGGTGTCTCAGTTGGTTAGGGCGTCATCCCCATACACCGAGGTTTATGCCAAGGTTGTGGATTTGATTCCTAGTCAGGGCACATACAAGAAACAACCAACAAATGCATAAATAAATGGAACAACAAATTGATGTTTTGTTTTTTTCTCTCCTTTCCCCTCTGTCTCTAAAGTCAATTATGAAATACACAAAACTAATAACGAAGAGTCCAACGCAAAAAAGACATGTTGGCTACTTATTAAAATGCATTTTTATATGAGTAAAGCTTTGCCTCTTCCCTCCTCTATCCCCATGGAGAAAAAGTTTCCCTCATCTTAAAGGCTAGACTTATAGACCAACTAAAATTGTTACTTCTTATACTGCTACTTGCCCACCATTCCTAAATTATACATTACATTCCTACACATGATTTGTTATATTGTAGTATGTGTTACCTCCTTAGTTAATTTTTAGCAACCTTAAGGAAATGTTAACATAGGGGTTATTTTTTAAAAGAACATTTACTGAATATTTTAAACCTCAGATTAGCCGAAACCGGTTCGGCTCAGTGGATAGAGCATTGGCCTGCGGACTGAAAGGTCCCAGGTTCAATTCCGGTCAAGGGCATGTACTTTGGTTGTGGGCACATCCTCAGTGGGGGTGTGCAAGAGGCAGCTGGTCGATGATTCTCTCTCATCGATGTTTCTAACTCTCTATCCCTCTCTCCTCTCTGTAAAAAAATCAATAAAATATATTAAAAAAAATAAAATTTCAGATTAATGATTACAAAACATTACAATGATAAAAATATGTGTCTCAAAAATACTGAGTGATCTTTTCTTAATTATTATTATTTTTCAATCCTTACCCGAGGGCATTTTTTTCTTTTGTTTTTAGAGTGGAGGGGGGGGGGAGACAAAGAAAAACATCGAACCTGCGACCCAGGTACGCATCCTGGACAGGAAACCAAACCCAAGACCACGGCTGACGCTCTAACCACTGAACAAAGCCAGCAAGGACAATACTGAGTGATCTTTTAAGTCAATTTCAAATTATCCAAAAGTGTGATGGCCGAGTGCACAGCTTTACAACCCACTAAGAAAATAAAAAGGGGAATGTCACAGGGTCCTGTCCTGTATTATATATACTCTGTCTACATTTACATATGATCTAGTTGAGAGTCATAATTCACGTAACAGCGAAACTCATTTGCCAAGGTCCGGGTGTGCTTTGGAATAAATTTGCACATCTTCACTCCAAGAAGTTTTGCTGCCTCTTCCTCCATGACAGCACCTGAAGAGAACAGACCAGATGAGCCAGAAGACAAATACAACCATGCACCCTGGGCCCTGGCACAACGTGACCATACCACTCAGCAAATGAGGGTGGAGGTCAGTTCTTCATATTCCTCTTTACTTTTCCAACATTTTTTAAATTTACTTACTTTCTTCCTTTTCTTTCTCATTTAATAAATAAATTTCCTGTCTCTGCAAAGCTAAGACACTTCAAGTGTCTTAGAAATAGATTATAATCTACTAAGTAATATAAAGAAAGCAAAAATAAGTATTAAAAACTGGTGGTGGTGTAATATGGAAACCTGCACATGAAACCTATCTGTTCATGTTAACCAATGTCACCACAACAAATTTAATAAGTAGATAAATAAAAAACACTGGTGTTGCCCTGGCTGAGTGGCTCAGTTGATTGGAACATTGTCCCATCAGACTGTCCAAAAGACTGCAGATTAGATTCCTGGTCAAGGAACATACCTAGGTCGTGAACTTAATCCTCAGGTGCATATGGGAGGCAGCCAATCAATGTTTCTCATATTGATATTTCTCTCTCTCCCTCTCTCCCCTTCTCCTCCCTTCCGCCTTCCCTCTCTCTAAAATCAATAAAAACATATCCTTGGATGAGGATTTTAAAAAATACCAATTAAATAAAATATTGTAATGTCTTTAAAAAAGAAAAAAATCTAGTATTTTCCACTTTAATCAAGAATCCCCTTTTCAGAACCCTTTTGCACTGCCACTGTGGAAAACAGTATGGTGTTTCCTCAAAAAATTAAAAATGGAATTGCCATTTGACTCAGTAATACCACTTCTAGGTATATATCCCAAGAAAACAGAAACACAAAGCACCCCTATGTTCATATCAGCACAAATTACAATAGCTAAGATCTGGAAACAGTATAAACGCCCATCAGCAGATGAGTGGATTAGAAAACTGTGGGACATCTACACAGTGGAATACTATGCTGCTGTAAAAAATGATTTCCCCCCCCATTTGCAACAGCATGGATGGAATTGGAGAGCATTATGCTAAGTGAAATAAGCCAGTCAGTGAAAGATACCACATGATCTCACTCATTTGTGGAATATAAAGAACATTACAAACTATTGAACAAAAATAGATACAGAGGCAAAGCAGCATCAGACTGTCCAGTTACAGTGGGAAGGCAGGGGAGGTTCGGGAGGAGGTAAGAAGTCCTTGTGTGCCTGCACATAAGCACAACCAGTGGAGGCAAGACGGGGGGGGGAAGGGGGGGAGGCGAGGGGCATGTGCCAGGGGGCAAGGGAGGTCAGTGGGGGAAAATGGAGACATGTACTACTATTTATAATACTTTAAACGATATATTTCTTAAAAAGCATCCCCTTTTTAATAATAGCTAACTTGTAAATTCATAGGGATATATTCACACCAACCTTTGGATGACTAAACTGTTTCTCCCTCAGCCCCCCAACTTCACCCCACTGCCTGTCTTGCCCTGCCTACTGATGTGGATATCACCCCAGATGCTGCCAAGCACCTGTCCCTTGATGCCTATGGTAGCAAGTGCTGTGCAGATAGGAACCAGGACTCATCCTGAGTTCTCCCCTTTCTCACTTCCCACATGCAGAGCACAGCACATTTTTTCAATTTCCTCTCCAACCTCATCCAGAGCTACATCCACTCACCCCCATAAATCTTTTTGGTATAAAGTTAAAGTGAACTTTTTTAGGCAGACTGGATCTTGTTGCTTTGGGGGTGGACACTGTAAAAGAAAATGCCAACTCTGACTAGCACTGTCGGGGGCCCTCTCATTGGACTCCCCTTGAGGCCACTGCTGCAATGTTGCTCAGCCCAGAGAACTTGTGGATCTGGAATACAGCCCCCTGACTCTGCCAGCGTGTCTTTCTCTGATTTTTTTTCATATACTTATCAAAATTAGGAATTCATTTCTTCAGTTGTATTACAGTTTTTAATCTGTCCTCTAAAACCAAATGTATGCTACATGAGGTCAGACAATCTGCGTGTCAGCTGGCACAAAGGGCTAGTCACAGCTATCCTAATGTATAAAACCCGGGGCCATCACAGCCTAAAGGACTGGATGACTGAGCAGCCGGCTGCCAGCAGGAGGGAGCCCCGCCTGGACACAGAAGCAGCGAGAGGGAGCTAGAGGGTCATGTTATTTGCATAAAGCTCTGAAAGCTGTGCAAGAGTGATGACTCCATTGATTCAACAGATAATGCTGAAAAGGAAAAATTTCCCATTGAATTTCTTAAGAGTATTACTCCTTCAGGAATGCCATGTCATAAATTAAAAGTGAAAGTGTGTGCAGTCATCATGCTACTGAGAAATCTTAATAGTGAATGGGGTCTCTGTAATGATACTAGATTTATTATCAAAAGATTGCGACCTAACATAATCGAAGCTGAAGTATTAACAGGATCTGCAGGAGAGGTTGTTCTGATTCCAAGAATTGATTTGTCCCCCTCTGACACTGGCCTCCCATTTAAATTAATTCAAAGAAGACAGTTTCCCATGATGCCAGCATTTGCAATGACTATTAATAAGTCACAAGGACAAACTTTAGACAGGGTAGAAATATTCCTACCTGAACCCATTTTCACACATGGTCAGTTATATGTTACTTTCTCTTGAGTTCAAAGAGCGTGTGACGTTAAAGTTGTAAATACTTCATCATAAGGGAAATTAGTCAAGCATTCCAAAAGTGTTTTCACTTAATGTGGTATACAGGGAGATATTAGAATAAGTTTAATCTATCAGTCATTGTATCAGTGTTATGTTTACATCATGTATTTGTTGTTTTTATATCATGTCTTTGCTGTTGTTATATCATGTGATTATTAATAAATTTATATAGTATTTTCATATACATTTTACTAATTTTCTTTCATCTTTGACACTTCTATTATAGAGAATGGGCAAATAGCAATATTAAAATATTTCCTCTAATTCCCACTAGTGAATTAATAAGTAAATACTAGTTGTGTGAACAAAAGTTGTGTTTTTTACTAAGTCTGCAACTTGACAACCAGAAGAACAGCTCCACTGCTCAGCCCAGGGAGATCCGGGCAGAAGCCTGGGCACAGGCTGGGTGCAGGAGCTGGGGCTGCACTCAGGGCCTGGACACCAGGCTGCCCAGACCAGAGAGGTAGTTATAGTTTTAGTTCTGTGTCATCCATCTTAAGAAAACAGTGTATCTCAATCTCCCCAGAAAGAACACTGTTCTGCTATAACAAACCTGATCCAATGCCTAACTTGTAACCCCAGGCAATGCACGTTAACTCCACAGATTCGACATCAAGTGCAGAGGCTGTGTTAACTACTGATGCTAACCATGATGAATACGCTCACCACATGTGACCCCACCCAGTGTGTGTCAGGCATTCAGTCCTCACAACACTGGAAGTCAGGCAGCATGACCAGCCCATATTTATGGTCACACAATAAGTGGTAGATTTAGGATCTGAGATCTAAGATCTTTCAACTCTTGACACCTGAGGCTTGAATAGCCACCATTATCAACCTTTATGAGATGGCAGCCCAGCACCTACCTGTGCACAGCAGAATCTTGCCCTGAGTCAGGTACTTGATGGTTTCTGACGTTTTCCTGAGACATTCCTCAGAAAGATAGGGAGGATCCGCTATGACAATGTCAAAACTATGATGGGCAATATTTACAGGGAAGTCCAACGGATTATTGTAATCATAGAAGATAAACTCCTCTCCATAAATGGAAAATCTTCTGTCATACTCAAAAAGGTGTACAGCCAAGTCTTCTCTGTGCAGCTCTCTCAGTTTCAGGTAAACACTAGGGGTGCTCACACAGGCTACCCTGGAAAACAAAGTGGATATGTGCAGAGCTCTGGCAGACAGCTTCTAACATTAGCCAACTGCTAAACACCAGGGTTCATGCACAGACCTCCTAAAGGAAATAACACTGCAACTAACATGACAGCAGTGAATTGTGAGAGAAAACAAAATGCCTCACTTTTAAGGAATCTGGTATTTAAAAATCTGAAACTCGTACAAAAGTGATACATGTGTTCTTTATAATAAAAAATGTAAAACATTAGGAACATATAAAGACAAAATTAGGTATCCCGAAGTCTAAATTTACCTATTTCATGTTCCTTTAACATTTATGTCAAATACTGTTAATCTCAAACTAAATATTTTGAAGTTACTTTGTAATGTTCATAATCTTGAGAAGAAAACCCCAAATAACTGCTTTAGTAACTCCAGTTTTCTAAAAAGATACATTGAGTCTCAGTGCAGCAAAGCTGCTTTAAATTTCTGCAGCTTTTATATATATATAATTGATTTTAGAGAGGAAGGGAGAGGAAGATAGAAATATCAATGATGAGAACCATTGATAGGCTGCCTCCTGCACGCCCCCTACTGGGGATCAAGCCTGCAACCCAGACATGTGCCCTTGACTGAAATCAAACCCAGGACTCTTCAATCTGCAGGCTGATGCTCTATCTACTGAGCTAAACCAGCTAGGGCTCTGCTGCTTTTTTGTATAAGGAAATTATTATTAGCAGCCTACAGTTTTTGAACAGGTAAGCACTATTCCAACAGTTAACTCTTTTTGTTAATCTTCACTCAGGGATATTTTTCCATTGATGTTTAGAGAGAGTGGAAAGGGAAGGAATGAAGAGAAGACGAGAGAGAGGGAGAGAGAGAGAGAGGGAGGGAGGGAGGTGAAGGGAGGGAGGGAGGGGGAAGGAGGGAGGGAGAGAGAGAGAAGAGAGAGACATTGACTGGTTGCCTCGCTCCAACTGAGGATTGAACTTACTACCCAGGTATGTGCCCTTGACCAGGAATCGAACCTGAGACTCTTTGGTGCATAGGTTGACACTCTAACTACTGAGCACACCGACCAGGGCCCAATAGTTAACTTAAAACTAACTGTGAAAGAAGCTAGAAATAAATACTGAACTATTGAGTTGATTGTGGTCCATCTGTTATAATGGAATATTATGTAATATCACACCCCAAGACACTCCTGGAACACAAGGGGCAAAAAGACATTTGCATGAGTGAGAAAATATGCTCAGAGGCACAAGAACCAGAGACCATGGCTGCCTCACAAGAGAACTGGGGGCCTGGAGATAAGGAGGCTGACATTTTCTCAATCCCCTTTATAACTTTTAGGTATTTACCACGCATATATATTATCATTCAAAACAGTACTTTTGAATATTAAACTCAGTCTTAAACCTGTGAGATTCATTTCTGTACATGTGCACATTAGGCGCCCAAGCTAGCTAAATAGGCTGCTTGGCCCAAATACACTTGAAGTATGTAACAGCCTGATGATGGCATATATACGTCTGTGGAAAATGCGCATGTCCCAGTCTGGGTGTCAGGGCAATCAGAGCCTCAGCCCAGTTTGGGGGGAAGGAGGGAAAGTGAAGGTATAGAGCCAGTATGTCTTCACTGTGCTGGGATAACAAGCAGCATTCTGATGCACAATGAACTATCACCCAAGAAAGAGGGTGAAATAAAAGTAGTTTCAGACCAATTAAATCTGAGCTTGTTGCCAGCAGAATTTCTCTAAAATATTCTGAGGGATGTACACAGACAGCAGAAAGGTGTCTCAGATACAAGAAGGAGGGAGTAGAGTGTGGTGAACCCAGGGGGTCAGTGGGGTTTGTCATGGAGTGGTGGGGTCCTAGGGCAAATCACTCCTGAGTTCCTTTGTGCATGTGGCTGAATCTCTTGAGCCTCAGCTCTGTCTTTAGAATAGAGAATATAACAGTAACTACCTCACAGGGGTATTAGAACTAAACAAGGTGACCATCATAAACTGCTGACACAGAGAACAGGACAGGCAGCAATTATTGCCCTAGCTGGTTTGGCTCAGTGGATTAAAGGGCTCCAGGTTCAATTCCAGTCAAGGGCACATGCCTGGGTTGTGGGCTTGATCCCCAATTGGGAGGGGTGGAGGGTGGGGTGTATAGGAGGCAGCAGATCAATGACTCTCATCATTGGTGTTCTATCTCTCCCTCTCCCTTTCTCTCTGAAGTCAATAAAAATTATTTTAAAAGAAAAGATTATGACACAGCTCCTGAAGATGCCTATCAGAAAAAAATTAAAAGTTGCAACCCAAACCCTCATATTAATGGAAAAAAGAAAAAAAATGTATAAAAAAAAGTGTAATTGAGAAAAACCTAATAAAAAACTACATATAATTTAGAAAGAAAACAGGAAAAAAAAAAAAAAAAAAAAAAAAAAGAAAGAAAGAAACTTGGGACTTCTAGTTAAAGATGGTGGATGGGAATGTAGATTTGCACCCTCATGAAGTCCACTCACTACACCACAAGTAAGATTCTATTTTGTTGTTAAAGCCAAGAAGAGAAAGAGAATGTAAGAAGAGACAGAAGAAACACACATAAAAAGCTGGAAAACAGTGGAGAGTGGTATCTGACTTGACAGGCCCAAACACCAGATCCTGAACTGGCAGCCAGGAAAGCTGGGGAGCAGCCTTATCTCCATCACCAACCCCCAGGCTCAGGGTCTGCAGGTCCGTAACTCAGGACGCGGCTGAGGGTCCATGTAGGCAGACAATAATTCCCGAGACTCTCCTCCTCCCAGGAGACAGAAACCTGGAAGGAAGTTCTCTGGATTGGGGGAGAAAAATGGAGTGCCAGCACAACTAGTAATGTGGTGCTGTGTGGAATGACAAGGATTAAGTTAAACCCACTGGATGCTAGGACCTTCAGTCTTCTCGGTAATGTGGTCCTCCAGACGATGTCACAACACACATAACTTCCAGGGAAGAATTAGAAGACTCTTCCTAGAGCTCTGACCAGCTCCAGAGGAAAAGACTCAGACAAAACAACACTGGGGTTTCCAAGGAATAGCTCACCCACGTCATCCAACTGCAGAGACCAAGCAAATAAGTTTTGCCATGTGCCACAGCTTTCTGACATAATCTAAGTGGACAGAGAAGGTCAATGGACATTCAAGGAAAACATTTAATATTAGAGACCAAAATAAATGAACAGAAAAGGCACGATGTAATAAGCAGATTAAATGGGGGAGAAGAAAACTTTTTTAAAAATCCTGTAATTAATATCCTCAGAAGGATAAACAAGATACAATAATAAATATTCAGCACAATTAATGAATGCAATAGTAAGTGGAACAGTAAATTATGTTTCCCTTTTCCCCCCTTCCCCTCTTTCTAAAAATCTATCAAAAAATAAATAAATGTTATATTCAGAGATCCCAAAAGAGAGCTGTAAATGAATATGTACACTAAGTGGCCAGATTATGATGATCTCTGAACACATAATAATCTGGCCACTCAGTGTGTGTGTGTGTGTGTGTGTGTGTGTGTGTGTGTGTGTGTGCATATATATATATATATATATATATTAGAAGCCTGGTGCATGAATTCATGCATGGGTGGGGTCTGGCTAGCCTGGCTAGGGGAAGGGGACAGGGGTGGTTGGCCAGCCTTCCTGCTAATTGAACTCCTAGTTGAGGGGAAAGTTTGCATATTAGCCTTTTATTATATAGGATATGCACTGAGTGGCCAGTATTATGTGTTTAGAGGTCATAATAATCTGGCCACTCAGTGTATATGACAACAGAAAAGGTAAACTCAGCAGAATGTTTAGAAAATAAAGTTGAGGAATATTCCCAGAAAGTAAGTTAAGGTCCAACATTAAAATAACAGGAGTTCCAGAAAGAGGAACAGAAAAAACAGTGGGAGAGGAAATGGGCTTAGGACAGTTTTCCCAAACTGAAGGAAATGAGATTGAAAGAGCTCCCATCCAGCACAAGAGGGGAACACTCTATGCCAGGACACATCACATATTAGGAATTGAAAAAAGAACCCAAGTTTGCACTAAGCAAGGAAAAAACAGGTTTCCTTCAAGAACTTAAACAGCATGGGATTTCTCAACAACACCTGCGGATACCTGGAGGCCATGAAGCAATGTCCTCAAAACCTGGAATTATATACCCAGCAAAACTATTACAATTGAGAGAAAGAATGGAATAAAGGCATTTTCAGAAATGAAAGGTTTTTAAAATTTCCTTCCCACATATCTTTTCTGTGGAAGCTATTGAAGGATGGACACAACCCAGACTGAGGCTGCAATATCAGAACTGGGGTACAGGAAACTGGAAATCCAAAATAAAAGGAAAGAAAAGGGACTATGAGCATGATGGTGAAGAAAGAAACCAAGAAAAGAGCTGCAGCAAAGCTAGAAATCAGCCAGTCAGCTTGGTAAAGACCTGAGGTAATTTTTTTCAAGGAGTTGAAATAATTTTGCATTTATAGATAGGAGATATGGGGAAGAATTTGATGGTTAGCAGTGACATGGACATAGAAACACATAAAAAATAGGAAACTTATGATTTTACAATAAGAAAAAAGTAAAAGGTTTAGCTGAAAGAACATTATGTTTCATAACAATATTAACCCTATTATAGCCCAAATCTGGAAATAAATAAAAAATACAGCCCAAATATTGGGAGCATGGACAGAAAGCATGCACATCTGTGGAAGTGATAAAGTATGAACCAGCTTTTTCAGGCCAATTGATGATAAATTACATGCATGTAAAGTTTTGTGGATTTTTATCCTCACCTGAGTATGTTTAATAATTTAGAGAGAGGGCAGGGAGAGTGCAAGAGAGAAAGAAACATCAATGTGAGAGAGAAACATCAATTTGTTGGCTCCTGTATGTGCCCTGACCAGGAATGGAACCCACAACCTTTAGGTATATGGGACAATGCTCTAACCAAATGAGCCACTGGGTCAAGGCTATGCATGTAAAGTCTTGATAAAAATAAAAACCAATGCGGGCACATCCCCAGTAGGGGGTGTGTAAGAGGCAGCTGGTCGATGTCTCTCACTCATTGACGTTTCTAGCTCTCTATCTCTCTCCCTTCCTCTCTGTAAAAAATCAATAAAATATATTTAAAAATAAAAAAATAAAAAAATAAAAACCAAGTTAAAGAAAAAGAAAACCTACATTCTTAAAATTTTAAAAAGTCAAGTATTAAGATTTTTTTTTTTTCCTCTCTTAAAGCAAACTGTAAGGGTATAAAATTAAGGAGCAGGTTAGCAAATACTAAAAGGACAGAGATAAGAAATCCTACAATGAATACATTTCTGGGTGCCCCTAAACTTATTATAGCAGTTTTTATTCCTCATATTCTACATATAATGAACTACAAATTTTGAAGATTATGAATCAGACTTCTTACAAATCATCTCATTGAGGAAGGACATTGAAAATATCAATTTAGATTAAAACAAAAGAGAAACAAAATTTGAAGCTCACCTTCCACCTTCCCCAGCAACTGCAGTCACTTCCTTAGCAAGCCGCAAAGCAGTTTCCTGACTGTACCAAAACTGGCTCAATTGCTGTAGCAGAGGGGCGAGTTCAGATAATTTTAGAATTAGCATAAATTTGGTTCCTTAAATTTAAACCTGTGCATATACTTAATATTTTCATTTTTCATCTTAAAACCATTTTTTTTGTAGATTATTTTTTTTGTAAATTTTTATTGTTTAAAGTATTACAAATGGTAGTACATATGACTCCCTTTTTTTCCCATTGACCTGCCCCTGGCTTCCCCTACCTCCTATCCCCGGTGTATTGCGTCTATTGGTTATGCTAACATGCATGCATACAAGTCCTTTGGTTGATTTTAAATTAATAGACAAATAGGGATCCAAGATGGCAGGGAGTAGGTAGAAGCTATACTCAAGTCCTCCTAGGACCACACTGGAATTACAATTAAATTATAAAATAACCAACCTGAATAACAAACTGAAGACTAGCTGAAGAGAAGTCTTATAACCAAAGATTATAGACTAGTCGGATCAAGACTGGTAAGAAGGGCAGAGACACAAAAAGGGCTGGCCCCTACCACATGCATCCAGTCCCAGACAGAGGCAGCCATCACCTGTGGATTGCTTTGTAGCTCCTAACAGGCACCTCACGTCACAGGCAGCATCTGACATTGACCTGCACATGAGTCTCTCCCGAAAGGCCCCAGAACCAACATACCCTGGAAGCTGGCTTCAAACCATCAAAGAGTACCACCTGATTAGTTCCACAAATGGCACATCCAAAGGAAGATCTTGGCAACTACCAGACCCTACTGGGACAAATTCTGCTCATATACTGTGGTTAGGGTCAATCCTCACAGCCAGACAACCTGAGGGTCAACCCCACCCACAGATGAGCCAACAGTAATCAAGGCTCACTACAAGACTCGCTTACATAACCCAGGCAAAGGACACCTGTGGAGTACCCAGCTCAGGTGATCAGGGAGACTGCACCACTGGGCCCCACAGGATACCTAATATATAAGGCTATTTTACCAAGACTGGCAGACAAAGCAGATCTACCAAATACACAAGCCCCACTCCACCACACATTGGCAGCTAAAATGGGGAGGCAAAGAAGCAGGCCCCAAATAAAAATAAAAAAAACAGAAGAAATCTTCAGAAAAAGAACTAAATGAAATAGATACAAGCGACCTATCAGACACAGAGCTCAAGACAATGGTTATAAGGATGCTCAAGGAACTTAGAGGAAGAATGGATGAACTCAGTAGTGAGAACTTCAACAAAGAGATAATAAGCATAAAAAGTGACATAGAAACCACAAAAAAAGAACCAGTCAGAAATGAAGACTACAATATCTAAAATTAAAACTATACTAGTATCAACAAAACAATAAGAAATCACACTGTATGGAAGAACATATTTGCAAATGTTATCACTGATAAAGGTTTAATCTCCAACATGTACAGGCAGCTTATACAACTTAATAAAAGGAAGATAAATGATCCACCAAAGAAATGGGCAACAGACAATAAATAGAATCTTTTCAAAAGAAGACAGAAGGAAGGCCAAGAGACACATGAAAACATGCTCAAAGTCACTAATTATCCGAGAGATGAAAATCAAAATGACAATGCGTTATTATCTCACATCTGTCAGAATGGCTATCATCAACCAATCAACAAACAAGTGTTGGCAAGGATGTGGAGAAAAAGGAACACTCATGCACTGTTGGTGGGAATGTAGACTGCTACAGCCACTGTGGAGAACAGTATGGAGTTTCCTCAAAAAACTGAAAATGGAACTCCCATTTGACCCAGTAATCTCACTCCTAGGAATATATCCTACGAAACTGGAAACACCAATCAGAAAGGATATATGCACCCCTATGTTCATAGCAGCACAATTTACAACAGTTAAGATTTGGAAACAGCCTAAGTGCCAGCCAGCAGATGACTGGATCAGTAAACCATGGTACATCTACATTATGGAATACTATGCTGCCATAAAAAAGAAGGAATTCTTACCATTTGCAGCAACCTGAATGGAAGTGGAGAATATTATGCTAAGTGAAATAAGCCAGTCAATGAAAGAAAAATACCACATGATCTCACTCATTTATGGATAATCAAGAAAATTATAGCCAAGACCGGTTTGGCTCAGTGGATAGAGCATCGGCCTGTGGACTGAAGGGTCCTGGGTTTGATTCCAGTCAAGGGCATGTACATTGGTTGTAGGCACACCCCAGTGGGGGATGTGCAAGAGGCAGCTGGTCGATGTTACTCTCTCATCAATGTTTTTAGCTCTCCATCCTTCTCCCTTCCTCTCTGTAAAAAATCAATAAAATATATTTTTTTAAAAAGAAAGTTAAAAAGAAAATTATAAATTGTTCAACAAAAAGATAGATACAGAGACAGTAAAGCATCAAACAGAATGCCAAATTACAGCAGGAAGGTTAGAGAGGGGTGGGGGAGATAAGAGATCAACCGAAGGACTTGTATGCATGCATATAAGCATAACAAATGGACGCAAAACTCTGGGGGGTAAGGGCATGTATGGAAGTGGGGTGGGGGAGGGAATGGTAAGATATGTACACATATAATACCTTAATAAAAAGATGAAGAAAAAAAACTACACTAGAAGGAATCAAGAAGGAATAAACAGTAGATTGATGAAGCAGATCGAATCAACAATTCGCAAGGCAAGGTAGCATAAAATACTCAATCGAAGCAGCAAAAATAAAAACAATTTTTTTAGTGATTGGGCAGCTTCCTCATCCTGAACATGCCATGGTTTTCTCCTTTCCTACAACCCATCCTTAAAGACCTAAGTGAAAGGTTTCCTGCTCTGGAAGGACCCCCTTAACCTTGCGATCATTTTGTCCTTATTCTTTTCCTTTTCTGTAGCATTGTATTCTATTTTAAGAACCTGCATTATGTTATGTTGCATAACAGTTTCCTTTTCCCACCAGATGGTAAATGCCTGTAGTCAGGGATCATTCTATGCATATTGACAACCCCAGATCCCAGTAGAGTACCTAATGTATAATAATAATAAACATTTGTGGAGTAAAATTTTTAAAAATGAGGATAGTTTAATGGACTTCTGGGACAACATCAAGTATAACATCATCCGCATTATAGAGACAGGCACCAGAAGGAGAAGAGAGAGAACAAGGGATTGAGAACCCATTTGAAGAAATAATGACTGAAAACTTCCCTAACCTGGTGAAGGAAAACGACATAAGTCCAGGAAGTGCAGAGCATCCCAAACAAGATAAACCTGAAGAGGCCCAGGACGCATCATAATTAAAATGCCCAAAGTTAAAGACAGGAGAGGGCAATAAGAGAGAAGCAAAGGGAGCTCCCATAAAACTATCAGCTGATGTCTCATCAGAACGCTGCAAGCCAGAACGGGTTGGTAAGAAATACAAAGTGATGGAAAGCAAAGATCTATAAACAAGACTATTCTACTCATCATGGTTGTCATTTAACATTGAAGGAAAATAGCCCTGGCTGATTTTCCTCAGTGGTTAGAGTGTCGATCCATGAACTGAAGGGTCATAAGTTCGATTCCCAGTCAAGAGCATGTAGCAGTTACAGGTTTGATCCCACCGAGTTAGGGTGTGTGTGGGAGGCAACCAATCGAAGAGTCTTTCTCATATCAATGTCTGTCTCTCCTTCCTCTTCCCTCCCTCCTTTTCTCCCTCCCTCCTTTTCAATCTCTCTAAAAAAATCAATGGGAAAAATATCCTAGGGTAAGAATTCACAACAACAAAAAGAATTTTTTTTTAAATAAAATAAAATTGAAAGATAATAAAGAGCCTTCCAGACCCCCCCAAACAAACAAAACAAACAAACAAAAACTAAAGGAATTTATTACTTCCAAACCAGTATTATAAGAAATGTTAAAGTGACTGCTTTAAGAAGAAAAAAGAGGAACATAAATATGTATAAAAAATGGCAATAAATACATCCTTAAAAAGAATCACTTAAAATGTAAATGGCTTAAATGCCATAGGGTATCTAACTGGATATGAAAACAAGACTCATTTATGTGCTATCTATGAGAGATCCACTTCAGATCAAAAGACACACACAGACTGAAAGTAAAGGGATGAAAAAGATATTTCATGAAAATAGGAACAAACAAACAAAAAGGATAGCAATACTTATATCAGACAAAACAGACTTTAAAACAAAGGCCAATATAAAAAACAAATGCACCCAAAGAAGAAGCATCTAAATTCATATATCAAATCTTGGCAGACATAAAGGGAAAGATCAACAGTAATAGTCAAAGTAGGGGATTTTAACACCCCAGTGATATAAATGGATAGATCTTCTAGACAGAAAATCAATAAGGAAACAGCTGTATTAAAAACACAGGTCAGATTAATTTAATTGATATATGTAGAGAATTTCACCCCAAATTGACAAAATATACATTATTTTAAAGTGCACATGGAGCCTGACTGCAGTGGCTCAGTGGTTGAGCATCAATCCATAAATCAAGAGGTTACTTATTGGTCAGGGCACGTGGGTTTCGGGCTCCATCCCCAGTAGGCGGCATGTAGGAAGCAGCCAATCAATGTTTCTCTTTATGCCTCTCCTGGCCCCTCTCTTTAAAATCAATAAAAACATATTTTTTAAATAAATAAAGTGCAGAAGGAACCAAGATGGCGGCATAAGGTAAACAACAAATTTAAAATTACAACTGGAAAACAGAGCAAACATCGTCCAGAATCACAAGAAAGCTGGCTGAGTGGAACCTCTACCAACTAGAAAAAAAGAGAAAGGATGCTGAGCCTCAGGAACTGTGGAGGTGCAGAGATCCGTGAGTGCGGACAGAGCGGGTGGCTAAATACGCTGCCGGTTTACGCGCAGTGCGCACGGAGAGGGTGGGCAGCTAACACGTGGCTAGCTTGTTCAGGAGGAAAACAAAACCTCCCTATTACACTGAATTCCAGCTCTGGTCAGGGAGAAATTGGACTGTCGGGCAGCGGGCAAAACTCTCTCAGAGGTGCGCATGGCCAGCAGCCATTGCTGTGGGACTCTGCTAACAGGACCTCTTAGGGAGGAGCTGACAGGAAACCAAAGCTTGTCTGCACCATCCTGAGACTCCGCCCCATCCAAGCTGAGCACAGAAGCCCTCCAAGTTGCTAGCTTTCTCGTTCAGGAGAAAAACAAAACTCCCAAACTGCCCTGATATCCAGCTCCAGTCAGGGAGAAACTGACAGGCAGTGGGCAAAACTCAAGAGCAGCTTCTCTCAAGAGGTGCACACGGCCAGCAGCTATTGCCCCAGGACTCGGATAACAGGGCCCTCATAGGTGGGGCTGATGGGAAACCAAAGCTTGGCCTGTGCCATCCTGAGACTCCGCCCCATCCAAGCTGAGCACAGAAGCCCTCCTAGCTGAGACACTGCTGATCCTCACAGCCAATTGGCTTGGAGATCAACCCTCCCCAGTGATAACAACAAGCAAGTCTTAACAACAAGACTGCACACACAGCCCACAAAGGGCTGCACCAAGACTGTCCACCTCAGGTAACTGGGAAGGCTGAGCTACTGGCCCCTGCTAGGACACCTAGCACTCAAAGCCACTCCATCAACTCAGGGAAGCAGCTAAAATGCAGAGACAAAGAGGCAGGCCACAAATGAAGGAAGTGGAGGAAAGCAAAAGAATGGATATAGAGTTCAAAACCACAGTTATAAGCTTTTTCAAGAATTTTCTAGAAAAGGCCAATAAATTAAATGAGATCTTTGAGGATATGAAAAGGGATCAACTAGAAATTAAACATACACTGACTGAAATAAAAAATATTATACAGAGACCTAAAAACAGACCAGAGGATCCCAAGAATCAAGTCAAAGGTTTGGAATACCGAGAAGCAAAAAACACTCCTCCGGAAAAGCAAAAAGCAAATAGAATACAAAAAGTTGAAGATAGTGTAAGAAGCCTCTGGGACAACTTCAAGTGTACCAACATCAGAATTATGGGGGTCCCAGAAGAAGAGAGAGACTGCAAGATACTGAAAACCTATTTGAAGAAATAGTGACAGAAAACTTCCCCAACCTGGTGAAAGAAATAGATTTACAAGTCCAGGAAGCGCACAGAACCCCAAACAAGAAGAATCCAAAGAGGACCACACCAAGAAACATCATAATTAAAATGCCAAGGTCAAAAGACAAAGAGAGAATATTAAAAGCAGCAAGAGAAAAGCAGTTATTTACCTATAAGGGAGCACCCATACAACTGTCAGCTGATTTCTAAACAGAAACTATGCAGGACAGATGGGAATGGCAAGAAATATTCAAAGTGATGAATAGCAAAAACCTACAATCAAGATTACTCTACCCAGCAAAGCTATCATTCAGAATTGAAGATCAGATAAAGAGCTCCACACACACAAAAAAAGCTAAAGGAGTTCATCACCGCCAAACCAGAATTATATGAAATGCTAAAAAGTATTCTTTAAGAAGAGGAAGAAGAAGATAAAGATAAAAATTATGAACAACAAATATGTACCGTATTTTTCGGACTATAAGACGCTCCGGACCATAAGACGCACCAGTTTTTAGAGAAGGGAAATGAAGAAAAAAAGATTCTGAAACAAATAGTGTCCTAAAATATTTTATGTGCATTAAAACCCAACATCACAGTCATAAACACATGTAATCAACCCTGTAAAGTAAACAGCAGCATTTAGAACCATTTTAGAGCCGGGCAAGCACACAGAGACCACACAGAGTAAAGTAAAAAAACTTTTTTTTAAAGTATACGTGTAGGCTATATTTGGACCATAAGACGCAGGGACTTTTTTCCCCCCACTTCTGGGGGAAAAAAAGTGCGTCTTGTGGTCCGAAAAATAAGGTAACTATCAACAAGTGAATCTAAAAACCAAGGGAATTAGAAAATCTGATGAACAGTATTAACTGGTGAATATAATAGGATCAGAGGTATAGAAAGGGAGTGGACTGACGATTCTTGGGGAAAAGGAGTGTGGGGGATACGGGAAGAGACTGAACAAAAATCATACACCTATGGCTGAGGACAGTGGGGGGTGGGGGAAAGGGCAGAGGGTAGGGTAGGAACCTGATGGAGGGGAGCTATGAAGGAAAAAAGAGGAACTATTGTAATAATCTGAACAATAAAGATTTATTAAATAAAAAAAAATTAAAAATAAATAAAGTGTACATGGAACATTTCCCTAAATAGACTATGTTAGGTAACAGAACAAGTCTCAATAAACTTAAGAGACAGAAATCATATCAAACATCTCCAAACACAATAGTATGAAACTAGAAATGAATTACATAAAAAACACACAAACAGAGGGAGGCTATACAATGTAATTAAACAATGACTGGGTTAACGATGAGATTAAGAAATCAAAAGATAAATTGAGATAAATTAAAATGAAAACAGTGCATTCTCCAAAAAATTCAAGAGGAAGGTTCCCAAGCTCGTTTTATGAGGTTAGCATTATCCTAATTCCAAAACCATATTAAGACACTACAAAGAAAGAAAATTATAGGCTAATAACTCTGATGAACATAGATGCAAAAATCCTCAACAAAATATTAGGCAGCCAAATTCAGCAATATATTAAAAACATTAACTGGCCAGTGTTACTCAGTGGCTGATTGTTGATTTATGAACCAGGAGAACACAGTCGATTTTTTATCAGGGCACATACCTGGGTTGTGGGTTTAATCCCCACTAGGGGGCATGCAGGAGGCAACCAATCAATGATTCTCTCTCATCATTGATGTTTCCATCTCTTTCTCCCTAAAAATCAATAAAAAGACATATTTTTTAAAAATCTTACATCATGATCAAGTGAGATTTATTCCTGGGTTCAATACCATAAATCACTGTGATACACTACATAAACAAAAATGAAGGATAAAAATCATGATTATATTAATAGATGCAGAAAAAGCATTTGACAAAAATCTAGCACCCACTTATGATAAAAATCCTCCACAAAGCAGAAATAGAAGGAACATAACTCAACATAATAAAGGCCATATATGACAAACCCACAGGTAATGTCATATTCAATGGGGGAAAAAGTAAAAGCATTTTCCTTAAGGTAAGAAGTAAGACAGAAATGTCCTCTTTTAATACTTTTTTTTATTATTATTTAAAGTATTACGTAGTCTCCTTTTCTCCCATTTGACCCCCCCAGCCTCTCCCACCCCATTTTACCACTCTTAATTCAACACAGTTATAAAGTCCTACCCACAGCAATCAGACAAGAAGACGACAAAAAGACATCCTAATTGGAAAGCAGGAAGTAAAACTCTCATTATTTCCAGATGGCATATTATTCTTTTATTAGATAAGACTAGAGGCCCAGTGCATGAAATTTGTGCACTGGGGAGGGTGTCCCTCAACCCTGCCTGCACCCTCTCCAATATGGGACCCCTTGGGGGATGTCCAACTGCAGGTCCCCTGTGAATGAGGCCTAAACCTGCAGTTGGACATCCCTCTCACAATATGGGACCACTGGCTCCTAACTACTTACCTGCCTGCCTGATTGCTCCTAAACAGCCTGATTGCCCCCAACAACCCTCCCCTGCTGGCCTGATCACCCCCAAGGCTTTTATTACAATAGTATAAATATGACCCTGCACAGAAAATTTTACCAACCCTGCTTTACAATAAGGGCTTGATGATTGAATCATTAGGACCAGACACCAAGATTTCCTTTCTTTGAATAGTGGAGGGAATAAATATCTTGTCTTTAAGTTGCCCTGAAATTAAAATGAGATAATGACTTAGAAAAGTATAAAAGCACCATATAAAGACAACTTTCTTTTTCATGTACCTACTGAAAAGATAATGAAGTGGTAAAATGAAAAACACTATATTTATTTTCCCCTTCCTTCCTTTACAGCTTTTATTTAAACTTTGAAATTTATAAAAATTTCACTCCAATTTTCATTTCTTTACACTCAATATTATTTTGTATTGGTTTCAGGTTTTATATTAGTTGAGCTTAGGTTAGAAGTTTCCCTCAACTCATTTTTTTTCTCTTTCATTTCCTATTTGGACCATGTAATTAAAATACACATTATGCACCAGAAACTATTAATATCATCTCAACTCCCTTTCATTAATTTTTCATTACATGTTTACGTTCAGTTACTACCAAGATATTTTACCCTTTATACAGGCTTGCTGAGCTCTAAAAAAACAAATAGAATGCACTTGCATACAGGAGTCACCACTTTGTGTTGGACATCACATGCTCTTCCCCTGTCTGAAAAGTCCCATCCACTGATCATCAACAAACTTGAAAGTTTATAACCAAGAAAATCCACATTTATGCCATCTTAAAATATTCCTGGATAGCTTTCTGTCCTAGTTCCTCAAATAGGTTATCAGCTCTCGATTGACAGGTGACAAAGTTTTTGGTATAAGGTGGGATATAGACAAACACCAAACTAGGTCCAGAACAGGTTCCTCACCAATATTTCCAATTATATATGGAATGCATTTACTCACCCAATTCTCTTCTATTCTCCCAACATTGTATTTGTCTCCCCCACATTGATTCTTCTCAGCATAGAATTCCTGGAGAGCTGCTAAGGCATGGGAAGAAAGCTGGGGGACATCGTCATCTTCCAAGTCATTCATCTCACAAATTGTCTATGACCTGCAGATAAAAAGTAAAAGTGCTTCTTCTCATCAAATAATAATTTAAAAATGTTTATCTCACAGCAAAGATACAAACAGAAAGTGATCTTTTTAAAAAGGGAAAACAAACATATTTAAATGAGATCAAACATCTACAGAGGTTGTCCACTGAATTATAGTTTAACAAATGCACAGTTTTCCTTTAAAGGATTTCACTTTTTACAAATGAGATTTTCATAATCCCTTGCTGAAGGAAAATTTTACCATTAAGTATTTAAAGACATTTTGCTATCTTCTGGTAGCCCAATGGCCATGTGCAAACATTTCATAATTATCTATGTAACATCTTTTTGTACTTGAAAGTCACTGTTAAGGTGACCTAGGGCTCCCTAGTGTTGTAGAATTGATCTTAAAAAAGAGCTTGGAAGAGGCTTTCTCCCAGACAGGGGTGCTCCGGGGACCATTGTTCCTATGCTGGGAGCTCCCCTGTTGCAGAGCTGACTGGCAGGGGCCATATCCGAGTCTCCATCAGCCTGGCTCACACTCTTTGTCCTGAGACCCCAAGCCATCCACTTTGCAGCCCTTAGCAAGCGTTTTGCAGCAGTTTTTCTACATGAATGGCCTATGCTGGCTCAGGCTTCAAACTCTGCTAAAATCTTTAATACAAACTACAGCTGGTGTCAGTGGGCCCAAAACCTATCAATAAAAGCCCCAAAACTGGCACTAGCACCAGCCTGCCTTTCTTCACAGCTGGGCCTCGCCTAGGCATGTCAAGCCCAGTACAACTAGTAGCCATCTGCAGATCTCTCTGTAGTTCCTGCCTAGTGGCTCCAGGCTGACTGTGCATCTTCCTGGAGGCCCAAAGCCATTGCACCTGTTGGACAGCTTCAGACCAAATCAGATTACAACTCTACATATCCACAAGTGACTCACTCAAGGGGCAGACTCAGTGAGCACCAAAGCCCCACTGAAGGAAGACTTGCTCCATAGGGGTTTATCCTGACAGCAGCAATCCCACTGTAGTCATAGCTGGTCCTCACAGCCAATTGGCCTGGAGGTCAATTCCTCCCAGTGACACCAACAGCCATCAAGGCTCAACTACATAACTGTGCACACAGGGTGCCTGGTGTCAGTGGGCCCATCTACAGTGCCCAGCTCAGTGCCTGGGGAGGCTGAGCCACTGGGCTCTATAGGACACCTAATACACAGGCCACTTTACCAATTCCAGAAGACATAGCAGCTCTACTTAATATCTAAAAATGAGCAAAGGGAATCCACCAAAATCAAAGACAAAGAAACACATCATAAATGAAAAAAATGGGAGAAAGCAAACTACTGGTTACAGAGTTCAACACCATGGTTATAACATAAGGTTACTCAAGGATCTTCATGAGAGCTTCAAGGGACTTAGTGAGACTTTCAAGGTTCTTAGTGAGAATTTCAAAGACATGAAAAAGGTCCAATCAGATATTAAGAATACACTAACTGAAATAAAGAAGAATTTACAAGGATTCAACAGTAGAGTAGAGGATCTGAGAATGAAGTCAATGATTTGGAATATGAAGAAGCAAAAAACAACCAATTAGAAGGGCAAAAAGAAAGGATCAAAAAATATGAAGATAGTGTAAGGAGCCTCTGGGACAACTTCAAGCAATCACATTTGCATTATTGGGTGCTAGAAGGAGAAGAGAGAGAGCAAGATACTGAAAACATATTTGAAGAAATAATGAAAATATTTCCTTACCTGGTGAAAGAAATAGACTTACAAGTCCAGAAAGCACAGCGTCCCAACCAAGATGGCCCCAAAGAGGCCCACACCAAAACACATCATAATTAAAATGCCAAGTGTTAAAGACAAAGATGGACTCTTAAAAGCAGCAAGAGAAAAGCAGTTAGTTACCTACATATGACTGTCAGCTGATTTCTCAACAGAAACTTTGCAGGCCAGAAGGGAGTGGCAAGAAATATTTAAAGTGATACACATCACTAAAGTTTAAATTAAATGAACTTTAAGTTTTCATGTGCTAATTTTTTTACTTGTCACATCTTTAGCAGTAGTAAAATTCTAAGTAGATTTGTGAAACGGCTATGAAAGAGATTTTCATGTACAAAAGAGTTGAGAAGTGCTGTGTTATATTATTGAATTGACAGTGAGACTTATGTGGCACTCACAGAAGGATCAGGCAAGATTTGTCCCTCAGGGGAATATTTAGCAAAGTCTGGAAATATTTTGTTTATCATAACTAGGGAAGGTCCTTTTGGCATCTAGTGTGTCAGGGAAGCTGGTCAACTCCATACAATTGATAGGACAACCCTCCACAAAAAAGAACTATGTGACCAGAAATGTCAACAGTGATAGGAGGTTAAAAAACTGCTCTACTATGATGATGTGGTGAATCTGCATTTAGAGCCATGGATCAGAGTAAAGAGCATGTGTGGATGGAGGATAAAAGTGAGGCCACAGGGGGTTTACTTTCACCTTGAGGGAGAAAATTGCCGAAGGAAAAGCATGAAGATGATGGAACAGCATGGTAAAGTAATGGGCACAATCATGTACAGCCTAAATAGGGGTGAGGAGGATCCTAATGGGCTATATGGTCACTTTCTATTTCTTTACATAGCAGCTGACTAATGTGGTCTACAAAGAAATGTGTAAAATTCTTCAATTTCCATATATGGTCTTTGCTTAAAGCAAGGCCCACTCTCCCATCCCCCGCTGCATAATTGTACAGGCTCCCACCCTGGCTGGTTTGGTTCATTGGTTAGAGTGTCACCCGCACACCAAAGGGTCACAGCGTGGATCTCAGATCAAGGGCAGGTACCTGGGCTACAGGTTGGATCTGCCCTGCAGTAGGCAATCAATGGATGTGTCTCTCTCACATCAATGTTTCTCATTCTCTCAATCTCTCTCACTCTCTCTCCTCCCTCCTCCCACTCTCTAAAAATCAATGGAAAAAATATCCTCTGGGAAACAACCAAGATGGTGGCATAGTAAACACCTGTACTTGCTGCCTCTCACAACTACAGCAAAACTACAACTAAGAGAAAAAACAAATATCACCCAGAACCACCAAGGGAAACCTGGCTAAGAGGAAGTTCTACAACTAGTAGGAAAGAAAAAGTGCATTGAGACTAGTAGGAGGTGCAGAGGTATGGAGATGTGGAGGCAGGCACGAAATGGGCTGGCAGCTTGGTGCACTGTTGTCTTTATCGGGTGGAAGTTACAAACTCCCAATTGCTCTGAACTCTAGTGCGGGGCGAGACTCTGGGGACCAGACTCATATGGGGAGAAACTGGGCTGTCTGGTATCAAGCAGGAACATGAGGGTGGCTTTCTATCAGAGGTGCTCCCACTGATCATTGTTCCTGCATGGGCATAATGGGACGCAGAGATGTGTGGACCTCTCTGGGGCAGGGCTGATTGGTAGCCATTGCTGTTTGCTGTGCCCTGGTGATTCCCTGAGACCCCACCCCACCCAGTTTACAACCCCACCCAAGCTGTGCAAAGCAACTTTTGCATATGAATGGCCTGTCCTTTTGCAACCTAAAACCTAATAAATTGAAGCTGGGTCAGAGAGCTCCAAAGATTGCAAAAGAAAGCCTAAGGCCCAGCAGCAGCAGCCTGCATTGCTTCACAGCTGGGCCTCATCTGGGCACCTCCAAACCCCAAACAAAGAGGAGGAATCTGCAGATCTCACTGTAGCTCCTGCTGGGTGGCCTCAGGCAGTGACTGACTTTGCACCTCCTTGGAGATCCAAGAGCCAGTGTACCCAGTGGTCAGAGTGAGACCATCCAGATTATAACTCTTCACATCCATAAGGGATACACTAAGGGGGCAGACTCAGTAAGCACCAAAGTCCCACTGAAGCAAATCCTGCCCCATAAGTACAGCAGTTCTCCCATTGTAGAAATAGCTGATCCTCACAGCCAATTGGCATAGAAGTCAATTCCTTCCAGTGATACCAACTGCAATCAAGGCGTACCTACAACAAGACTGTGCACACAGCCCACAAAGGGGAACACCAAGAGTGTCCACCTCAGGTAATTAGGGAGGCTGAGCCACTGATCCCTATAGGACACCTAGCACACAAGGCCACTCTATCAACACAGGGAAGCAGCCAAAATGCAGAGACAAAAAACACACGTCACAAATGAAAGAAAGCAAAAGACTGGATATAGAGTTCAAAACCACGGTTATAAGATCACTCAAGAATCTTCTAGCCAAAACCAGTTTGGCTCAGTGGATAAGAGCGTCAGTCTGTGGACTGAAAGGTCCCAGGTTTCATTCCGGTCAAGGGCATGTACCTTGGTTGCGGACACATCCCTACTAGGGGTGTGCAAGAGGCAGCTGATCTATGATTCTCTCTCATCGATGTTTCTAACTCTCTATCCCTCTCTTTCCCTCTTTGTAAAAACATCAATAAAATATATTTAAAAAATAATATTCTAGAAACCACCAATAAATTTAGTGAGACCCTCAAGGATATAAAAAAGGACCAATTAGAAATTAAGCATACACTGATTGAAATAAAGAATAATATATAGAGATCCGACAGGAGAACAGAGGATCCCAAGAATCAAGTCAAAGATTTGAAATACAAAGAAGCAAAAAAACACCAACTGGAAAAAGAAAAAAGAATTAAAAAATATAAAGATAGTGTAAGGAGCCTCTGGGACAACTTCAAGTGTACCAACATTTGAATTATGGGGGGAGGAGGGAAGAAGAGAGAGAGCAAGATATTGAAAACCTATTTGAAGAAATAATGTCTGAAAACTTCCTTCACCTGGGGAAAGAAATAGGCTTACAAGTCCAGGAAGCACAGAGAACCCCAAACAAGAGGAATCCAAAGAGGATCACACCAAGAAACATCATAATTAACCTGTTAACGGAGCGGGATGTATAAATATGTCAAACGTAAACAATATCAAGTATGGGTAGGACATATGAATACGTCCTTGAAATATATGTTGCGCCCTGAAATGGGCGGGATGTATATTTCTGAACAACAAAGGTATTAGTCAGTCATCCATACATGTCTCGACATGAATTTAAGACACGGAGGGAATCAGTATAATTTCGCTATTGAGAGTGGTGGACGTGTTCTGGGTGAGCAGTGACGGGTACGTACTTACACTTACCTACCTATTTTCATATTATATATTATTTACTTATATTTTTTATATCTCCAACCTTTTCTTATATAATAGAAAAACATATAAAATTGATCCAATCGTCAATAATTTGTCAGAAAAGTTTAATAGTTTTTGTGTATGTGAACAAGAAATATGTGTACTAGATGAATCTCTTTTATATGGAAAGGGAATTTATCTTGGAAACAATATATATCTACAAAAAGAGCTAGATTTGGAATGAAGTTGTTTATTTTGAGTGAAAGCCAATCTGGATACGTACAAAATATAATTTTATACACAGGCAAGGACACAAATTATGGTTCAAACTACCCACAAGAAAAACAATCAACAAGAATTATTTTGGAATTAACACGACTTACTGAATAAAGGGTATAGGATTTACTTAGATAATTTCTATACGTCAATTCATTTGGCTGAACTCTTGTGTCAAAACAATACAGACATTGTTGGAACAATGAGGATAAACAGAGTCGGAATCCCCAGTGAAATAAAAACAAAAAAAATACAGAAAAATGAACATATAGTAAGAATTAAAGACAAACTTATGGTTTTAAAATGGAAGGATAAAAAAGACGTATTGATGCTCATAATGACGAAAAGACAATGATTGAAAAGAGAGGAAGAAGGCAAGAAAAACTGAATGTTGTCCTGGATTATAACAAGAATATGGGCAGAGTATATTTGGGAGATGGAGTTATGGTGGCCTACACGGCTGCCCGTAATAGGGTAAAAAAATTTTATAAAAAATTTTTTCTACGATTAATTGATATGTGCTGCTTCAGATAAAGGTCATTTGGATCGATTACACTTTTTGATAGTGTAGAGAAATAGATAGATAACAACATAGTGAAAACCCACCCAAAGACATCAACAAGCAGCTCTACATCTAAACCATCACGCTTAGTTGAAAGGCATTTTCCAGAACAAATGAAAAGCGATATAGGAAAAACTAAATCCAGGAAATGCCGAGTTTGCTACAAAAAAGGTGTTAGGAAAGAATCTACATACTGGTGTCTGGATTGTAAGGTAGCATTATGTATCAACAATTGTTTTAAAATATATCACACAGAAGTTGAGTTTTGAATTTTTACATCTATATTTCAATTTTTTAAACTCAATATTTCTATTTTATTTGTGTGCTTTTGTTTATTGTTCTGTAATTGTTAACTTTTTATATTTTTATTGTGTATAAAAATAAAAAAATATACTTTTTGTAATCTTTATAATTGTAAAATTTATAATTTTTTAATTCGATGTTTCCATTTTTTGTTGGTATTATTTTCTATTTGTTTGTAATTTTGTATTTTCCTTTGTGCTTTATATATAAATAAATGAAAAAATATATATTTCATTTATTTTAATTAAGTATAAATAAAAAAAATAATAATATAAAATTACATCCACTGGGCGTGACATACTGACACGTCCTAGTGAAAGAGTATGCGCCTGTTGTACGTTGTGTAATTAAAAAGGGAACTCCCCGGTTAACAGGTTAAAATGCCAAGGTCAAAAGACAAAGCGAGAATATTAAAAGCAGCAAGAGAAAAACCGTTAGTTACCTACAAGGGAGCACCCATACATTGTCAGAGGATTTCTCAACAGAAACTATGCAGGAGTAGCAAGAAATATACAAAGTGATGAATAGCAAGAACCTATAACCAAGATTATTCTACCCAGCAAAACTATATTTAGAATTAAAGGTCAGATAAACAGCTTCTTGGATAAGAAAAAGCTAAAGGAGTTCATCACTGCCAAACAAGTATTATATGAAATGCTGAAGGGTATTCTAGAAGAGGAAAAATAAGAAAAAAAAGATACAAAATATGAACAAAATGGCAACAAATACATATCTATCAACAAGTGAATCTAAAAATCAAGTGGATAAAAAGTCTGATAACAGAATAAACTGGTGAATATAATAGAATCAGGGGCATAGAAAGGGAGTGGACTGACAGTTCTCGGTAGGAAAGGAATGTGGGGTGCGGGAAGAGACTGGATAAAAACCCTACACCTATGGATGAGGACAGTGTGGGCGGCGTGGGTAGGTAAGGGCATCTCGTGGGATGAGAACGCGGTAGAGGGGGGCCTTGGGGGGGGTGGCGAAGAGGAACAACTGTTATAGTCTGAACAATAAAGATTTATTAAAAGAGAAAAAAACCCTCTAGTGAGGATTAACAACAAAAATTTTCACTTTGGCAAGTGATTCTGGGAAGGCAGTGGGTGCAGAGGACAGAGCAGTAACCGGGTTCCCCAGATTTCCTGTCACCTACAGGGAACCCTCCTCCAAGGAGCCCTACCAGTGCCCGCGGTACTCACGCTATTTTAAACTCAGATATTAGGTACAACTTCTGTCCTGTGAAATATGATCACGAACGCCGTCCGGTCCTCTGCACTCTGGTCGCCAAGGAGTCTGCCCGCCTCCCGTGTAGGCCGCGCAACACCCCACGCCTCCCGGCCCCTCCCGGGACCCTGATCCCGGATCCAGCACCGGACGACCCACCGCACAACCTCCTGCGGCACAGACTTCGCAGGTCGCCTCCCAAACCGCGCCCGGGAGTCGGGAGAAGTACAGCCACTCGAGTCCACTCACCGCCACGCGTGCGCGGTGGCCAGGGCGGTGCGCGGAGCGCGGGCGACGTCAGCCGCGCGGCACGCGCCTGCGCACACCCACTGCCCGGGGAGCGCGGCGCCGCGCTAGCAGTGCGCAGGCGCTGGCCCTGGAGGCGCTCAGGTCCCAACTCGGAAGGTGGCAATCCAATGAAAACTTAAGGTTGTTCAAACGAAATACAAGGAACCTATTTGTTCTTGGGTAGCTGTACATTTCACAAGCATCGATCAGGGAGGACTTCATTGGTCTGTCTATCTTCTAATAGACAAATCAAGACGTGAGAGGCCTTATAATGTTAATAGGTTTAGAAAAACTTTTTTAGTGTCTCCACTGTAATCAATATCCTTCCCAAACTCAACGTGGTTACTAGGTCCAGCCACGCGCATTTTCCCCTGGGGGTGACAGCGAAAGCAAGGCCCAGCCAGTGGGCAAACGAGATAGAAGCCGTTTTCACGCTGAAATACGGTTAGCTACTGATTTGGCGATTTATCTATCAGGCGTAACATTTCTCTATGGAGATAATTCCAAATGTGGGAGACGTGCCGTGAAGCTCTCAGAACCTTCCATATTGAGGGCATTCCTTCAATATAAAAACCTCCAGCAAAGCACCTGACACACAAGCACTTGTTAAACCTGGCAATATCAAATCATAAGTGATATACTTATTTCCCATTCAAGAAGGCATTCAACCTGTATTATGTTCTTGCTTTTCTTTCATTTTTTTAACCAACTTTATTATCGCGCTGTTTTATATAGTCTGCAGAATCGCCTTAAATCGATTCTGGCCTAAGAATATAAATAAATGACTCAGCTGTGAAATAACAGTAATATATAAACCAAGTTTACAACTTGGGGAGTACCATAATTTCAATTATAAATACCATTTCCTGGTGTATGGCAACCCATGCTTTCCTTTTTTGTTTTTCCTTGCTTTACTTTTTGATTTTGATGGGGTTTAAGTGATGACAAGTCAATTACACCAAGTATTTAAAAAATCAGGTGTAGCTTAGGAAAAGAGCAGGAAAGAAAATATATAGAGCAAACCAAAAATCAATAACATGAACCAAGAAGCAACAACCAACTTTATGGCAGTATATATTTTTTTTAACAGAGGTGTAGAATTCCATACATTGGAGACTGTCTTGGCCTATAATTTAAAAACCAAGTTAAAGCAATTTCTGGTTTGAAATAGATTTTTTTAAACTTTAAGTTTCAATTGTTTTCATAGCATGTGAGATGCAATAGTTACCTTCATGTAGTGTGTATTATGATGTGTTTTTATTTTTTTATTTTTAAAGTGATCAGGAAGTCAGGAAGTTGTTATACCTCCACCACCAGTGCTGAGGCAGTATGTTTACAGTAACACATGAAGATTAATTTTCCTGGTGAAACATTTGCACTGTAATTTAATGGTTCTTACAAATCATAAAAAATTTAAAATATCAAAGGCAACTTGATTCTTACTGAAGTAAAGGGAAAATTGTTTAAGTTAAACTGGACTTGAAAAGATGTTTTCAAATTTGATTTGATTCATGAATTATTCCGTTTGTGTATTTATATGTGATTTCTGCCCATCATGCTACTCTTCAGAAGAGGTGCAAAAAGAAATGAAGATTACTCTGTAAAGATCTAAGATGAAGCCAGACTCAATTTTCATTTTTTAAAAAGAAACCCACACCTGAAACCGTATGTTCATGTTGACCAATCTCAAGCCAATCAATTTAATTTTTAAAAGCACTAACTACCTATAATTAAAGTCAGATTCAAGTGTTTTTCTTCCATTCTTCAAGTACTTTGTCATCAAATTACTCAAATTAACCTATGTTGCAAAGGGTGTTCCCGTATTCTAGACCCATTGATGTTTGAGTCTATTACATAAACTGAGGAAATCAGATCTAGAGCAGTGTAGTAAAGCTCTTAACTTCACACAGATATAAACTTGTTTTACTTCTCCAATTTATTTGACTTACAGTGATACATGAAACTGTCTTTGGAAATCACTTAGGGTTTTTGTAGTTGTTGTAGGATTGATATGAGTGTATTCAGTAGAAATACCCTTAAGTAGATCAACTTTCTTGTTTAAGAAAAAAAATACAGTGAATTCTCTCACAATAGCACCATAGTGGCTGTGGCAGGGGCTATACAGTCATATTGTATGTGAAGACATCACAGTATTTAAAAATTACTATCAGGTATTAAACTTTGTGTAAAGACACTTATCTAATGGAACTGTGTCCTTAGAAATAATTTTTAAATATAATAGAATTTATTGAGTATCTTCTATATTTTATCAACCAGCGTGTTTTAAATATTTTCTTTGGGAGAATAATTTACATGGAAAGAATTCAATAAGGAAATTATTTATGTGCTAGAATTTAGACAGGATACTGTCATTAGGACTATATGAAATGTCCCAGCAAAAGATTTTCTTATTAATTTCAAATATGCCCTTTTACTTCCACTTAGCTTTAAAAATAAAACTGAACCACCATTTGAGATTACAAAGAATTCATATTGACCCAATCTAAGATCCCCATGTTTACAAAATAAACAAAATGATGCATAATCTAATCAACACACCAAAGCATCATTTCTAAGCCAGTCAATATAAACCAACTGTATTTTTAGAGAGCACAATTATTTTAAATATGCCTTTTAAAAAATAATACCAAATTTTTATATTTGGGACCTTTAAAATCATCTATGGCTCTCTCAAATACAAAATGATTATTAGCCTGTGTCCCCAGATCCTGCCCTCAATAATTAAAGAGAGAAAATGAAAACTCAATACAACTCTGCTTAGTCCTCTTAAACCTAAATTTTCTATATCCACTCTTGGAATAAAATCAAATCTCAATACAATCTAAAAAATAACATTATGAATAAATTAATATTCAAAGCAAAATCAAGTTTAAAATATATTTTCAAAACACATTTTCTTTTTTTAAAAAAATATATATTTTATTGATTTTTTACAGAGAGGAAGGGAGAGGGATAGAGAGCTAGAAACATTGACAAGCTACCTTCTGCACACCCACAACCAATGCACATGCCCTTGACCGGAATTGAACCTGGGACCCTTCAGTCTGAAGACCGAACTGAGCCAAACCGGTCTTGGCAACACATTTTCTTTAAAAAATAAAACAAAAACTTTTCACCTTATTTAGCTCAGTGGTTAGAATGTCAGCCCACAGGCTGAATGGTCTTGGGTTTGATTCCTGGTCACGAACAAGTACCTTGGTTGCAGGTTCGATCCCCACCCCACTCAGCAATTATGGTAGACAACCAACCGATGTCTCTCTGGATCTCTCTCTCTCTCTCTCTCTCTCTCTCTCTCTCTCTCTCTCTCTCTCTCTCTCACACACACACACACACACACACACACACACACACACACACGTCAATGTTTCTCTCCCTCTTCTCCCTCCTCCCTCTTTCCTCCTACCTCCCTTATAACTCTGTCTGAAAATCAATAGAAAAAAATATCCTGGGGAGAGAATTTTTTTTAAATTAACTTTTCAATAAATATATTTACAAGATTTAAGATTAGGCAAAGAGAGTGAGTCTGTCTGACACAACAGAATGGCAATTTTTCACTTTCCCTGAAAGGCCATAAAAAGAATGACCCAAACCATTAAAAAGATTTACTACAAATAAATCCTCAACTTCAATGATTTAACTGATAACTTGGGACATTGTTTCTAAGACTAAGCTGAAATAAAAATACATTGAATAAATTTTGAATGTAAACGTTTTCTTTCTGAATCCTGAATATTCTATTAGGGGCTGGGTGTTCTCACAGAAGGTAATGCAAATCCTATCTATACAGATATATCGTGTGTTTTTTTTAAATTTTAAAGCATGACTGTATAATGTCCCCAGTGTCAGTCATTCTATGATGGTAAACAAACTAGCACCATTTCAATCAGTTTCATAAAAGTCTAAATACCCACGAACAAATCACACACAGTCAAAACAAAAATGTAATAAAAATATTTAGTTAAATGACACATAACTCCCATTTATAGATTTAAAAATACAAATAAAATTTTACCAATTTGATAGTCAGCCTTTAACTGGCTCAATACATAGCCCTGATTTATTTCCTAAAATCCTATTATAGCATCTTTTGAAAAATGAAATGCAACTTTATACCTTATACTTTCATTAGTAATGTTAATAGAGGTAAATATTTAAGCCATATACTTGTCCCTGGGTCTCTCAAAAAAAAACTGAAAAGTCTTAATATAAGTTTAAATGTTTAATATTTATAAATTTAAAAAATTTTACACATGCTGAATGGTAGCAATGCTAACACTTTGTGATGATTAAACCACAAACTCACTGCATGAGACTCCGTTCAGACAGCTGAATTGCAACACCAGTATTTGCAATGTGTCATAATTTTATGTGGTAGATGATACCAGAAAGCCTAGGTTCAGAACATTCTTGAGGTCAGGTCCGTGTTAGATACATAGTACAGGTGATTTATTTAATTTCAGGCTAATAAAGTTAGCTAACAGTACATACCTGACAGCTCCTAATAGCTGAGACCTAAGCGTATAGACTGAAAGGAGAAGACTCTCCACTGCTAGGAAGGCCTAGGAATAGGTGAGGAGCGAATCCCAGGGGGTGAGGACAAACCCCTGTGCATATAGCTCAGTCTTCAGACTTAGCTATGGAGTTAAAGGTCAGAAACAGATCACTCCTCCAGTCCTCTAGAGCAGAATGGATGCTCATTATTAACTATGTGTCTTTACCTGAACCAAATATATTCTTTGGCTAAATATGTCATGAGTCTCCATTATAATCTATCAGAATTACATATAAATTAAACTGTTTAAAGTTCAACTTGAGTTACGGCACTTCATATCAATTTGAGCTCAGAAAATAAACCTAATTTGAACTTTTTTAATTTTAGAAAATCAGTGTTTTCAGAACATAGTTATTACCAAGTCTGAGGATATCCACTTATATTTTTAAATAATTTAAAGCATTATATCCTCAAATCAGCTGTTATTTTATAGAAGAATTTATAAGAAGTTATATTAAAAACTTATATCCAAATCAATTCCTTTTTCTCTAGTTAAGAAAAAAAACAAACAAAAAAAAACCTAAGAAGTATTGAGGTTCCTGCTGCCTTAACAGTTAATATTTTTTTCAGGATCCAATAAGGACAATTATCCATCAGAGACAAGTAACCTAGTAAGGTCTAATGATAACCACCTTTAATGACAGACAGAGGTGGCAAACAGAAACAAGTAAAAGTGTAATAGAAAAAATAGTATTTTAAGGGTTCAATTGACATGGTCTACTAGGATACTAAGACTTGAAATCAACAGCTAGTTCAATACTTGAGAGTTTCATACAAGTATTAACAGAAATGGTCAGAGCAGTTGGATTCGGGGTTAAGGACACGTTCCTGGGCTGCAGGTTCAATACCCACCACGGTGGGATCACGTGGGAGCCAACCAATCAATTTTTTTCTCACATTGATGTTTCTCTTCCCCGCACTCCCCATCCCCCAACTCTTCCACTCTCTCTACTAAAGCAATGAAAGCCCTAACTGGTTTGGGTGAGTGGATAGAGCGTCAGCCTGCAGACTGAAAAGTCCCAGGTTCGATTCTGGTCAAGGGCATGTACATTCGTTGTAGGCACATCCCCAGTAGGAGGTGTGCAAAAGGCAGCTGATCAATGTCTCTCTCTCACTGATGTTTCAAGCTCTCTATCCCTCTCCCTTCCTACCTGTAAAAAAATCAGTAAAATATATATATTTTTAAAAAGCAATGAAAAAATATCATTTGGTTAAGATTAACAAAAAACAAAAAAAGATAGTAAGGAGTGTTACTAGGGGAAGGTATTTTAGAGATGCTGGGTTTTGAAATGAAAATTGTGAAAAATAGTAACCATCTCATTCTAACAGGATAATGTAATATAATTAGACACATGGCTTACAACGAAGTAAGCCTGTTCTTAAAATTAGTTTGAAAAAGAATGCAAAGGTGCATTTTTTTTTATATAAAATGTCACACTTTCTACCAGACAAAACTCATTGCAGTGTTGTTAACATGCCATTGTTTTCCAACAGATTAAAAGACAGCAAGTAATAAAGACACAACTGTGAAGAGGACACTGAAGTACTGTTCTGGAAAAAACTAAAACAAACAAGCAAGCAATCCTTGTAACAGAGCTACAAGGATGACAGGTGCTGTTATATGAATACCAACTGTGAAAGTACAAGTCCATAGAGACTGTGCCCTGGGAAACAAATTGGCCCAGGAAAATAAAATCAAATATAGAATAAACTGAAAACTAGACATTAAAGGTAACTATATATGACCAGAAATTTCATACAAGACAAAATTCTAAATAAATATTTTTCAATGTCCCTTTAACATATATAAAAAAGGGGAGCACAAATAATGTTCTTATTTTTAAAACACTTTGGACAACAGTCAGTTTTAATAATAAAACTTAATTTACTAAAATTAAGTCAGTGTTCTTGACCCACACAGGGCAAAGAGCAAAACCTCTAAAAATGAAAAGTCAATAAGCACAGCTAAAGACAAAACTGGACAAAATAAAATAAAAAAGGACTCAAACTAAACAAATATGTATACATCTAAAAAAACTGATCATTTATATAATAGGATACTACGTGGCCATAAAAAGGTTTAAAAAAAAGAAAAGAAAATATGACCTTTTGAGACAACATAGATGAATCTGAAGGTTAATATGCTAAATGAAATATGCTGGTCAGAGAAAGACAAGTACCATAGGATCTCACTTATATGTGGAACCCAATAAACAAAATAAACTGACCAACAAAATAGATCCAGAGACACAGATATATGAAACAGACTGACAGCTCTCAGAGGTGAGGGAGAACGGGAGGACTGGGTGAAAGAAGGTAAAGGGATTAGCCAAAACACATACCCATTATATGCACAACCCATTAACACAGACGATATGGTGACAGTCAGAGGAAAGGAGGCACAGGGGCTAGGTGGAGGTGTACAAAGGAGGGGGGGTGAATGGGAATATCTGTAATAGTTTTAACAATAAAAATAAAGTTAAAAAAAAGATGACCCAAATTAAACAAATACGAGTCAGAAAAACACATACACGAACACCAGAAAAATGTCCAGCTGTTGCAGTTAAGTGGCATCCCCATTACCTAAAAAATGGTGTTGCCTCTTTTTTCCTGTTTGCTACTAATCACATTCTGGTGACATCTTAAGGCTGATTTGGTCCAATCCCAAGTACATATTCTTTTCTTTAAAGTTGTCTAATTACAATGCAATATTATTGACAGCATCTAGGATAATTAAGCCCATACATTTCCATCTAGATAGCAGTTATTAAATACAGATGCCTTTTTATTTCCCAAGGCATCCCTTTTCTACTCATCTTTGATTTTAAAAACTTGATTATAGTTTTGTTAAAGCCAGTGAACCTTTCTAGTCAGTTGCCGGTCCCAGTACCCTCTGGCAAAGGGACTACACTGACACCAACGAAGCAGTGTGCGGAGCTGGGAGACCACACATCAAGAACAAGGCAAAACAGTGGTTCCTGGTGCAGATGACTTCATGTTCATTAAGGGGAAATAAAAAAATCTAAAAATTAACACATGGCTCAAAGTATTTTAAAAAATACAATATGCATATTGATAAACAGTGACATAATTTTTTCCTAGCTGTTTTTAAGATGCTTTGCTTCCCCTCTGCTATTACTAGATGATGATAACTAAGAGAAATAAATGGTCCTTGAAGTTCTGGCTCAAGGCTCTGCATTGGTGCATGTCTAAGGTAGAATGCCAAGCTGGATATAACTTAGATGTTCCTGTTTTGGTAATTGTTAATAGCAGCTACACAGTTTCACAAAGCATCACTGCGAAGGTTCAGTGCTCAAGGCAATCCCACCACATTCCAGGGACAGTTAGCACGGATGTGTCAAGAGCATAGCAGGACACTCTCCCTGTAAAGCAATGTCACTGTGCCCTGTGACTATGACAAGGCAGTGGGCAGTTTTACATGCCTGTGGTTTCCATAATTTAAGGGGAGTATGGTAGCAATACAAAATTTTCTCTTAAATTTACACGATTCCTATGAAACGAGAAAATACCCATTCCAGCATAATTATTTCTCCTAATGCCCCAATGTCTAAAATCTGCAGGAATCAGTCACTCCCATCCTCAGAGTAGAATACTGTAGCAATGGATATAAAGCTGGACAGAAACATATTCCCAGAGTTATACTACATATGGATGAGCCTGTTTCACTCACAAACCCACATGAATACACCACCAAAAGGGCACCACCAAGTTCAGAGTAGCTAACTTCCAAACCAACTCTGAGGCATCAAAACTGTTGGTTGTTTTGTTTTTTGTCTTTCTTCTTAAAATTAAGGCAATGGGATGGCTACAGTTCCTAAAGTTTATTTTATGGAACAAAAATATACATGCATTTTCCTCCTGAAGTTCAGGCACCAGAGTGTGACTAGAGGCCTGTACTCCACAAAACCTGCCCACCACCCATTAGCCCAGTGAGCACCCGCAGCGCCTTCCCCTCCTGCCAGACTCAAACGGAATCACAGGGAGAAAAGCACCACAGCACAAAGCCTCTTCCGAGTTTTCACAGTGATTCAAAACTTTTGGGTTGGCAGAGGGGAGGAGTTCATTAAAATGAAAACCCAGAGCCCACAGGCAGAAATTCTGACAACGATGGCCCGCAGTCGGGTCCAGTTCCCCAGTGCTGCAGGTGCTCCACGGACGTTTAACATACATTACCGAATAGCCACCTAATAGTTCCTAACAAAAACTTCAAACTTTGGCTAGTCACCTAACGTTTGACAGAGAGGGAAAAGGCACTGAACATGATTTCATGGTGCCCTTATCTGTTTGTACATAGATGATATTTCATTTTGAAAATATTAAATCACCATTCGAAACCTACAGAATACTTATGACCGACTGTGGAAACACCAAACAGCAGACGCTGATTTGAGGCTGAGCTCTCCTGTCTCACTGCATTCATTACATGTCAAGCTCTCCAAAACCCCAATGGCCAAGAAACTGAAGGACAGGACAAGACTCAAGTCAACTTTTAGCAATTCAATGCACTTTGTAGAAAGGATCTAAATTAAGCATAGAGTTTTGTTCTTTATTTTACACAAAGGAGACCACCAACATTTGCCATAAATTCTTCCAAACTCTTTAGAAAAGCCATCTTCTGTTTCCGATCCAGCGTAGGAGGGGTGCTGCTTGCAGTGAGCTTGTTGAAGGCATCTGCTAATCTCTGGTAAATAACTGGGTCTTGTTGACTTGACAGTAATGTTTCAACCAATTCAGAGTACTCAGCCTATTGAAGAGATAAAGTGCATATAAAAACACATCTTTCTCAAACACAAGGTAAGTAGGTCATATCAGTTACTGGATGGTGGGATTCTAAGAGGCAGGGTCTGCCAAGTCTTCTTCACAGTTAGCACATAATCTAGGTTCCATCCAGCCTTTGCCATTGCTAATTCACCTATTATAACAACCTTATGAGGCAAGTACTGTTTACATTCCTGTTTTAAAGGAAATTTACATAATAGTGAGATTACCTAATACATCCAGAATCATATCGCCTTTTAGCAAAAACCCAGACTGTTTGATTCCAGAAGCAATGTAATTACCAATTTCATTGTGTTGCCTCTTTTGTTTTCAAAGCACATTATTCATGTTTGTTTTACATTTTATATATAACCTAAGTCTGCAACTTTGTACATTTTCTGAGAGGTTCTATAGACACTATGTCCACGCAGTTCTGTAGACAGCAGGTCACACAAATGCAGGTGAAAAGTGGCAGAGTGGGAGAAGGGTATTTTGGTCTTTTCTCAAAGTGGAAGTAGGAAATCTGAATCGACTGTGCACATGCAGCTCAAACCAGCACTGTGGCTCAGCGGCTCTGGGAAGAAGGAAGCAGGAGCTTAACGAATATACGGGTATGTTATGTATATCTTTTATATTGTTAGTGCCCTTCACATTATAGCCTTATACAGAGGTGTGGGAAATGAAGGCAGGGCAGCTTTCTAAGATAAACTCTCTCTCTCTTTTAAACCCTCACCTAAGGATATGTTTTCAGAGAGAAGAAGGGAGAAAAAGAGAGAGAAAAAACATCAATGTGAGAGAGAAACATTGATTGGTTGCCTCCTGTCTTCGACCTGACCAGGGATCGAACCCAAAGCCTGGGTATATGCCCTGACCATGAATTAAATCCGCAACCTTTCTAATGTACGAGATGACACTCCAACTGAGCCACCCGGACAGTGCGATAAACTTTCTTGAAAAAAGCTGGTCTGCCACTATTTTTCATTAACTTCTTGGCATATCATGATGGACCAAAATGGTAAAACCATGTTAGTTACCACTGGAAAGAAGAGTAGGGCATAGCACCCTACCACACCCAGGCATGAGCCAGAATGGCTGCCTTCACTGCCCACCTCCAAGGGACAGGATTGTTCACAGGAGAAGAAGAATAAACTCCAACCGCGTCCCAGCTAATGTGAACTGGCTGTGTTCCTGGGCCAACACAACGGGACGTCCTCCTCACCAGTCCCAGGCTCCTGTTCTCTGTCCTACATGTATGAATGTTTTTAAAAAGGCAACCAGAGCCCTAGACAGTCTGGCTCAGTGGATAGAGTGTTGACCCTCGAACTGAAGGGTCCCAGGTTTGATTCTGATCAAGGGCATCTACATCAGTTGCAGGCTTGATCCCTGGCCCCGGTCGGAGCGCATGCAGGAGGCAACAGATTGAGTCTCTCTCACATCAGTGTGTCTCTCTCTCGCTCCCCTTAGGTTCCAACCTCTAAATCAATGGAAAAATATTCTCAGGAGAAAATTAACAACAACAAAAAAGGCAACCAGAATATAAGGACTTATACATTTTCTAGTAAGAACAGGAAGTCAAATGACAGAAAGGCCCCTTACTGGGATGGGCATCATTTCAGGAAGTGAACTTATGAATACCTGCACAAACAATACAGAAGCCGGCCTAATGGTGGCCTTCAAGTACTTCGCCAACCGCTATGAAATCCTATCTTTCTAAAAGAGAAAATAAATGCAGCCCCAAGGAGCCAGTCACAGAGGATGCTATGGCCTCTACGCTTTAAAAATAAAAAATTTTAGAAACCAAGATGGCGGCATAGGGTAGACATCCGAATGCAGCCTACCACAACAAATTTGAATTTAGAACTGAAAAACAGGGGAGACATTGCCCTGAAGCGCCAGACGGCTGGCTGAGAGGAGGCTCTGCCATCTGGGAAGGAGAGAGAAGGCACGCTGAACCTCAGGAACTGTGAAGATACGGAGAACTGTATGCACGAAAAGGCGCTGGCTTACTCGTGGCACACGGAGAGGAAGGGCTGGACCGAGATTGCTGCTGGCTTACTCCCGGTGCACAGAGAGGGCAGGCTGGGCTGAGTTCGCTACTGGCTTACTCCTGGCGCGGAGGGGGCGAACAGCTAACGTGGCTGGCTTTCTTGTCCGAGAGGAAAACAGAATCACCCTATTGCTCTGATAAACGGCCCCAGACAGGGAGAGGCCAGACTGTCAGGCAGTGGGCAGAGATCTCTCAGAGGTGTGTGAAGCCAGAGGCCATTACTGCGGGACTTGGGGAGGAGCCAAAGGGAAAACAAAGTTTGTCTGCACCAACCCGAGACTCCGCCCTACCTGTGGCTGAGCACAGAAACTCTCCCAGAGGCTGGCTTTCTCTAAGGAGGGACTTGCAGGAATCCAAAGCTTGTCTGTGCCTTTACCAAAGAGGTGCGTGCGCACCTGCAACCAATCTTCCAAAACTCTCCAGGAACAGGACTTTTCTAAGGCGAGACTGACAGGGAACCAAAGATTGTCTGCGCCACCCCGAGACCCCGACCTATTCAAGCAGAGTAAGGAAACCCTCCTAGCTGAGACACTGCTGATCCTCACAGCCAATTGGGTTGGAGATCAACGCTTCCCAGTGATAACAACAATAAGCAAGGCTTAACAAGACTGCACACACAGCCCACAAAGGGCTACACCAAGACTGTCCACTGCAGGTAACTGGGAAGGCTGTGCTACTGGGCTCTACCAGAACACCTAGCACACAAAGCTATTCCATCAAATCAGGGAAACAACTAAAATGCAGACAAGAAGAAGGACACAAAGGAAGGAGATGGAGGAAAAGAAAAGATTGGACATTGAGTTCAAAACTACAGTTATAAGGTTATTCAACAATATCCTAAAAAAGGCCGATAAAATAAATGAGACCTATGAGGATATGAAAAGGGAGCAACTAGAAATAATAAGGGATCAACAAGAAATGAAGAAAACATTGTCTGAAATAAAAAATATTATACAAACTCCTAAAAACAGACTGGAAGATCACAAGAATCAAGACAAAGATTTAGAACACAAAGAGCCAGAGGACACTCCTCTGCAGAAGGGAGAAGATAAGAGAATCCAGAAAGTTGAAGATAGTGTAAGAAACCTCTGGGACAATTTCAAGCGAACCAACATCAGAATTATGGGGATTCCAGAAGAGAGAGAGCAAGATACCGAAAACATATTGGAAGAAATAGTGACAGAAAACTTCCCCCACTTGGGGAAAGAAATAGACTTACAAGTCCAGGAAGCCCGCAGAACCCCAAACAAAAGGAATCCAAGGAGGACCACACCAAGACATATCATAATTAAAATTCCAAGAGCAAAAGACAAAGAGAGAATATTAAAAGCAGCAAGAGAAAAGCAGGTAGTGACCTATAAAGGAGCACCCATAAGATTGTCAGCTGATTCCTCAACAGAAACCATGCAGGCCAGATGGGGATGGCAAGAAATATTCAAGGTGATGAATAACAAGAACCTACAGCCAAAAATAATCTACCCAGCAAAGCTATCACTCAGAATCAAAGGACAGATAAAGAGCTTCACAAAAAAAAAAAAAAAAGTTCATCACCACCAACCCAGAATTATATGAATTGCTGAAGGAGGTTATTTAGGAAGAGGAAGAAGATAAAGATAACAATTATGATCAACAAATACGCAGCTATCAACAAGTGAATCTAAAAACCAAGGGAATTTAAAAATCTGATGAACAATATTAACTGGTGAATATAATAGAATCAGAGGTATGGAAGGGGAGTGGACTGACGATTCTCAGGGAAAAGGGGAGTGGGGGTGCGAGAAGAGACTGAACAAAAACTGTGCACCTATGGATGAGGACAATGGGGGATGGGAAAAGGACAGAGGGTGGGGTGGGAACCTGGTGAAGGGAAGCAATTGAGGGGGGAAAGAGGATCACATTTGTAATAATCTGAACAATAAAGATTTATTTAAAAAAAATTTTTTTTTTGATTGATTTTAGAGAGGAAGGGAGAGGGAGAGAGAAGCATCGATGTGAAAGTGAAACATCGGTCTGCTGCCTCCTGCATGACCCCTACCAGGGATTGAGCAGACGTGTGCCCTGACCAGGAATTGAACCAATAACCTTTCAGTGCATGGGACAATGCTCAACCAACTGAGCCACATGGCCATGGTGGCCTCTACACTTTTTTAAAAAAAGTCTTAGTGAACTGCTGGTTTGGTTCAGTGGTTGACCACTTACCTATGAACCAGGTCACGGTTCAATTCCCAGTCAGGGCACATGCCCAGGTTGCAGGCTCTATCCCTAGTGTGGGGTATGCAGGAGGCAGCCAATCAATGATTCTCTCTCATCATTGATATTCTCTCTCTCTCTCTCTCTCTCTCTTCCTCTCTAAAATCAATAAAAATATATTTTATAATGTCTTCGTTCCTCTAGCCCACGTGTCAAACACAAGGCCCGCGGGCCAAATCTGTCCCGCCAGGCCTTGCAATGTGGCCCGCACCGCGCTGTCATCACTGCACTCCGCTGTGTTTCCATCACAATGACAGTTTATGAGTGTTCAGTAAACCATTCGGCCCGCGATTTAGGCTGGATTTTAGATTTTGGCCCCTTCTCTGATTGAGTTCGACACCCCTACTCTAGCCAATCACTTGGTCTTGCTGGGACATATGTGAAGAAGCGGGGTAGGGGATAGGTTTTGGGAAACTGATTCTTCACATACACTTGATGGGCATGTACAATAACGAAGGGAGATGGGTGAGCCAGCATAATTTTTCTTCTTCTGTTATATTGGCCCCACCTCAGTGACTGCTTCAGTCTTTAAAGACTCAAAGAATTAGAGAGGGTGAGGGAGGTGAAGGGAAGGGAAGAACACTTTCCATACTATAGTATGGAATAAATACTGTTGTTTCTCGGCTCTCTGAAGACAGTCTCTTCTGGGTGCCCCATCTCTTTCATCTTGTTTTTCTTACAAAACTGAGTTCCTCAAGGACAGAAGCACATCTCCATTATCCTCTCAAATCTGACTCCTGGTTCCTAGCAATTGTGTAAGGATAAGCTTTAGGGCAAAGGATGGATTATAACAATTCAGAAGGGGTAATAAATGCTTATTAACTGATAAACAGCTTACCTAATTAAAAAAAGCCAGAGCTAATGAGGAGGTTAAGAAATAGGACTGCACTGCAACAGAACTGCATCCCTGAGTCAGAGATCCCCTAAGATCTGTACAGTTAACACCCACCGTGGATCTGAATCATCTCCTCCTAAAAGACAGCGCCCAAAGGAGCTGCGGCCGTACCTGGTGCAGGCACACCAACGTGTAGAACGCCTCACCGGCTGCTGTCGTCATCTCAGTGTTGTGCTTCTGCAGAACCAGCATATCAAAAACCAGCTGAAAGTGCACAAGGAAACCGCTAAATAAAGACACACAACACAAAAATCACACAGTCCTCCAGCTCCTCCCTGCTCCAAAAAAGAAAGAGGGTGGCTTGTGATCAATAAATATATCTGAACATTAAAGAAAGTATTTTTTTAAGCAGTTAAGATATGATATAATTATTTACTGTGGTATAATTATTAAATTATCCAATTACCCATTATATTTATATCAGTTTTTAAGAAAACAGAAGTGGAGAGTTACATGTCCAGAAAGTGGATCTCCAGAAAACAGTGAACAGAAAGTGACTATTAAAGAACATAAGCACTTCCTGATTTGAAAGATTTATGTGTATTGACAGTCCTTATTAATGCAGGTGACCTCACAACCTGCTATCCAAGCACCTTACCTTCAGAAAGTGCCGTGTCGCTAGAAACAGTGGTGAGTCCGTATCTTGAGCTTTTGCACACTGTTCAGCCAATGGTGTCAGGGCCTCCAGACACAGCTGGCAAACCTCCGAGCTCATTCTGATCATGAAGGTCAAAGAACAAATGCAAGTAGACTCACTTGACATATTAAAGACAAAAAATTACAGCTATTATCACATGGAGTGTATTTCTAGAAATGAATGCAGGAAAGCTATAGCTTGAACAATGTGTCTTTACTGAGCTAAGTGAGAAAAGACTCCCAAGGTTTTGAAGTGATCCACAAGTGTTTGGGGTCTGCGACTGGAGACTTCCAGCATGTTTTTGATTATGAGGCACACATTGATAAAAGCCTTGCTATTTTCTGCCATCGGGTAGCTAAGATCAGACACTCAGCAACAGTATGTGAAATTATTTGGGAAGCCGGAGCCAAATGTCCCTAGAATCTGTGAAAGAACTAACAACATCAAAATAAACACAGAATTAGGGCAGTTATAGAAATGGTGGCTTTTTTTAAGAAATAAAACTGAAATATAAAATAAAACAAAAAAATTTTAAAACTTCAGGTAAGATCTTTCCCCCATGTGATAAGTGATAACAATGCCTATTTAAAGGATACGAAGTCATTCCCAGTTCTAGAGAGCACATCAGACTTTTAAAAAGGTCTTCAGGAAGTTGTGGTATTTTTTCAGGAAAAATCTCACAAATAAATGTAATTAATTTGTAGTATTGATTACAAAGTGTTGGAAACTAAAAAAGAAAAATTAAATATTTAAGTGTTTAATGTTATCTCATTTTATTTTATTTAATACAAAAAAGTAACAATAACAGGTAAGCTTCTAAGTATAATGACGTTTTAATTGATGTTAGAACAAGAAAAGAATGGAGAGGGAGGGGGAATGGAGAGAGAGAGACAAAGAGAGAGACAAACATTGATTTTTTATTCCATTTATTTATGCATTTGTTGGTTGATTCTTCTATGTGCCCTGACCGGGACTGAATCCAAAAGCTTGGTATATTGAGACTACTCTCTAACCAACCTGGCCATTGCATAATTTTTTTAAAACACATATAAGATGCCTGACCAGTGTGGCTCAGTGGTTGAACATTGACCTATAAATCAGGAAATCATGGTTTGATTGCCGGTCAGGGCACATGCCCAGGTTGCAGGCTCGATACTCAATGTGGGGCAGCCAATCAATGATTCTCTCATCATTTATGTTTCTATCTCTCTCCCTCTCCCTTCCTCTCTAAAATCAGTTAAAACATATTGACGAGGGGGGGAGGAGGGAAGAGGGGGAGAGGGAGAGGGAGAGGGAAGAAGGGGGAGGGGGATGGGAGGGAGAGGGGAATAGGGAGGGGGAGGGGGAGGGGGAGGGGGAGGGGGAGGGAGAGGGAGAGGGAGAGAGAAGCAATGGTCTGGAAATCTATGGCCTTCTCACTCTGACACTCATACTCTTCCCCCCCCTCCCTCCCCAGTCTATGCACGTGTGCACAGGCGAACACACCTCCCACTTCCTCTCCATTCATGTCCTTGTCCTCAGCTTCAGACTCCTATGACATCTCATGAAAAGAGGGGTAAGAAAGGCAGCCTCAATTCAATCACACCCAATACTGAGTGATAAAACCAAGGTACAAAATTAAAAACTGTATAAGTCTTGGTTTCTTACCATCCTGTTTCTACATGGAGGGATTTATGAATTCATTCCATTGTTTAATCCCTTAATCTGAGAATAATGTTCAACAAGTAACAGAAGAATGCATACAACTGAAAATCTAACATAATTTTAATTGCTTAATGACAAATGATGAGGGAATCAAAGTTGCTAACATGAGAATGAAATTTCTAAAAGCCCCACTTTTTCTGTAATAACTTATTTTGAATGCAGAACTCTGGGGCAGGAGTAAAGGCCTGTGTTCTGAGCTGTAAACACGATTTTAATGACACTAACAGCAACTCAAATGTTTTATTTCCACACGTACTTATCAGACAAACAGGTATTCATATCCCTTAGTTAAATCAGAGGGACATTATTGTCTAAAATATCTTGAAACTTCAAACACACACTTTTTAATGTTCATATTCGCTTTCTTCAATTACCTTCAAAAGATCTTGTGACATCAAGGGCAGGATTAGGTTGACTCCATATAAAACAACATCCGCGGCTGACACAGACCTGCTTGCTGCTTGCCCCGGCTCATGTCCCCTAAACACTTCATCTATGAACAGAAACCACGCAGTCTTACAGCCATAATATCAATAAATCTGCAAAGTTGGATACATTCTACCCTTGAGAAATAAAAACAGGTTTGAATCTTAAGCCACAATAAATCTGACTGGATAGCAGGACACCTGGTAAGCTTGCCTTCTGTATTTCACTCTTTAGGATCTCAACATACAATATACAGATGGTATTCTGTGTTTACATCAAATATTACTATTCAATAATAAAGGAAAACTGCCAGGCAGGTGTGGCAGTGGTTGAACGTCGATCTATGAACTAGGAGGTCAAACTTTGATTCCGGCTCAGGGCACATGCCCAGTTGTGGGGTGTGCAGGACAGAGCAGATTAATGATTCTCTCTCATCACTTGTTTCTACTGCTCTCTCCTTCTTCCTTCCTCTCTGAAATCAATAAAAAATATATTTAATATAATAAGAGAAAATAATGCTTAATCAATGTAGTGAAAAATAAATCTACCCTACTAGTCAAACTATGAGTTAATTAATTTCCACGATAATATCTATTTTATTTCTTAGGTGTGTGGGACTTTTTTAGCTGAAAAGAAATGGAGGAAAATATAGAAATTAACATGTCACATAAAAGAGAAAGTCGTTTTTAAAAAAAAGAGCTACGAGAATGAAGTTTATTAACTTTAATCCATGCCTATAAATTAATAGGAATCGTAAGACTTAAATAGATAAGTGAGCAAAGTCCATAAACAAACATCTAACAAAACTACCAATCCAATGAAAAACAGTTCATTCTAATCAAGCAAAGTAATTTTTTTTTTTTAAACCTCTCACCCAAGGATATTTTCTCCACTGATCTCCAGAAAGAGTGTGGGAGGGAGGGAAGAGAGGAGGGAAGAAAGAGAAAGAAACATAGGCAGGAGAGACACATCAACTGATTGCCTTCTGCACACGCCCAAACTGGGACCAGGGATTGAACCTGCAACCAAATGTGCCCTTGACAGGGAATTAAACCCTTGACCCTTTGATCCAAAGGCTGATGCTCTCACCACTGAAAAACTGGCCAGGACTAAAGTTACTATTTCTGATTCATTAAATTCAAGATGTATTTTGTTGTTGTTGTTAATCCTCACCAGAGGAAATTTTTCCATTGATGTTTAGAGAGAGTGAAAGGGAGAGACAAAGACAGAGAGAAACATGGATGTGAGAGAGAGATATTGATTAGTTGCCTACTGCACACACCCCAACCAGGGCTGGGGAACCTCCAACCAAGGTATGTGCCCTTTGCCAGAAAGGAAGCCAGGACCTTTCAGTCTGCAAGCCAATGCTCTATCCACTGGGACAAACTGGCTAGGGCTGAAGATGACTTTTAAAGGATAATATTTACATGTTGGTCAGGATATAGTGTGACAGTTACCCTTAAGAGTTATATAGTAAACACCTTCAGAGCACTGTACATACTAAAAGACATAATCAAATTCTGACAGAGACTTGCCCACAGAAATGATTGCTGCATCTCTATTTATAATAACAAAATCATAAATGTTTCAGATATCCAATATTAGTGAAACTGATTAAATTCCCAAAAGTGGAAAACCACTCAGCCATCAAAGAGTCATAAAAAATTCTTAATGAGGAAAAAAAGGCCAAGAATACATTAATAAAAAGGGCAGAATATAATGCCCAGCCAGTGTGGTTCAGTGGTTGAGTGTTGAGCCATGAACCAGGAAATCACAGTTCGATTCCCAGTCAGGGCACATGCTTGGGTTGTGGGTTCCACCCCTAGTGTGGGGTATGCAGGAGGCAGCTAATCAGTAATTCTCTCTCATCATTTGTTTCTATCTCTCTTCTTTGAAATCAATAAAAGTATATTTTTCTATTAAGAACATAATACTTTAGAAAAAGGGGGGAAAAGATAAAATGGAGTAAATAAAAAAGCAATTCTACTTAAAAACCACCTAATTCTGAACTTCTCCACAGGGGGCTCAGTTCCATTTGGAAGGATCCGATCTTCCAAAGCAAGGCATGCAAACCTGAGGTCTGTCTGGGCCGTGAGGCTGTTCTGGCACTGCCCGCAGGCTTCCCTGACAAAACAGGCTCTCTCTGTGGAGGCTGGAACCTGGGGCATGATGGGAACAGCTCTCCAGTCACTAGCTCTGCTAAGAATTTGAGAATGGAGAACAAAGCTACACTGCCAGTTATGCATTTAATAGCCACCTAGCATGTTAATTTCATTTCATAATACTTAAAATATTTTGTTTTTACTCACCTATTCGCTTTATTTTAAAAATAGTGAATTAAAAATACTATCTTCCTTTTTACCACTTATTTAAATAGTTAATGCTGTTCCTTTATCATTTTTCTATTTTAACTGTCTTCATTTTTCTATCATCTGAACTTCAATCCTATTTACCCTTAATTTATTCTTTACCCTCTTACTTTGTACTTTCAATCCTGAGGATTTTAACCTCAATTTCTTTTCTTAATGTTTTAACAGCTCTCCCTCCCTTCCTTCTTTTTAAAAAAATATATTTTATTGATTTTTTTGCAGAGAGGAAGGGAGAAGAATAGAGAGTCAGAAACATTGATGAGAGAGAAACATCAACCAGCTGCCTCCTGCACACCTCCTACTGGGGATGTACAAGCAACCATGGTACATGTCCTTGACCGGAATAGAACCTGGGACCCTTTACTCTGCATCAGCCAAACCAGTTAGGGCAAGCTCTCCCTCCCTTTCAATGCCAGCTCTCATTTTTTAGTCAAATTACTCAGGGTACCGGGTTCTGACAGGATGCTTACATCCTGGAAAGTCTACAGAAAAGTTTCCAAGAACCCACCAATCAACAGATACAGTGTGTGAAACTGCAGGTTGGTATAAAACTACTTTTCAAGGAAAAGGTTCAGTAACTACTTCAGGATTTAAAGGCTCATGCCCTAGAAAAGGTTGGGAATTCCTGAATTAAGGATCTAAAGAAATCAGAAAGCATGGGAATAACACTCGTGTAAGAGGCGCGCCTGGCATCTGGCAGGGTGGCCATTTCGGCTTTGGTACAGGAAGGAAGCACTGCGGGGAGGTGGGACAGGGCCTTGAAAACAGTTTCACCTGGGGGTTCATGAGTCCACAGACACCGAAAAGAACTGTTTTCCAGTAACTAAGAAAACAGAAAAAGCACAAGCTCAAGTATGGGGCATAATAAGGAAGGTGGAAAGTTACAGCACCCAGCTCAAAAAGATAATTTTATAAGGAAAAAGTGTCCACAACAATAAATATCTGCAGAACATAAAAGGAGATGCTCAACAGGATAGTTTTCTCACAGAAAGCAAGATTTCTTTTGTGTTAAGGGAAGGTGGGCCGTGAGATAGGAGAGAGGTAAGAAAACACTCTACAAAATACATAAGGTTTCAATTACTGGTGAAGTTCTCACCTGTAATAATTCCTGGCTGCCAGGCACCAACCTAAGGACCAGAGACTTCTAAGCTCATCCACGAACACTCTACACACTCTAAAGGGCATTTCTCAGCATACCCATTGGAAAGTTATTGGAAGGATGACTGACTTCCCAGGGTTCTGCTGTCCAAGAGCCACTAAGTGGCTCTCCCAAGCATGGCCTGTGAGCTCCAGAGTTCAGCATTTTCCACCCCAACAAGAATTCCCAATTCTCACTCCAGAAGGCTTTCCAGGGCAGCCACCTCAGGACACGGAGTGACCAGTCAGTAAAGCCTCACTCTGAAGTCTGGTGCCAGGATGTGATTCTAGTCCTGCAATTTACTGCTCCACATCTGTGGGGAAGTGTTTCTGCAACTGTTTCTCATCCATAAAAGAGTGTAGCAGTGGTACCTGCTTCACACCATTTTGACAGGCATAGTACCTGGCTTGGGTAAGAACCGAACAGATGGAAGATTTTACTACCTGTATTCTTCTTACAAGAGGAGAGCCAAGCAGAAAAGACCGGGCGTTGCGCCCTCACTGTAGTGACCAGAGATGACATTCTCATCTATTTTATAAACAGAACTTCCTCACAGGATTTTACTTAACAAAAATATCCTTTGCTTTAACAAATACAACAATAATAACACAGCTTACACCCTACCTGTATCACTGAAGTCTATGAATTCTTTTGACAGAAGGTTTGTAAGAAGTTCCATAATAAGAAGTAGATCCTGGTATTGTTCCTCCTCGGCTGTGACATCCACTCTCTGCCGCCCCAAATTATTCTTAGAATATACTTGCAACAAAGTGAGGCAGGCTTCATATAAGTTCATTGCTTTGGACTAGAAGAAAGCATGCAGAAATTAGGCTACCAAAAGTTTTAAAAAAATATTAAATAAATTAAAAAACATAATCTAATAAAGTTACTTTAAATCCCAACGATCTCAAACGCTTCTTTTAAAGTATATTAAAACATTAATAAAAATGAAAAAATACACACTTAGTCATACTTAAAATATTAACAATTTTCCAGCAATAAAATTTAATATCCTTTTTTTTTTTCCACTTGACTAGAGATGGAAAGACTATGGCAAAAGAACTACTTTATTGCTGCTATTCAACTTCTTCACTGATTTTAATATTTAAAATTGTATAACTTGCAAAAACACAGAGTACCAAACAGTGGTCTTAAACATGAGAATGCACTGTCATGCTCTCTCAATAATTTACCTGTGACTACATTTTTAATATTTTAAATATAACCTCAAGTTCAAGTAAGTTCCTTTGATCTAGTAAAAAAAAAAACAAAAAAAAAAACAAGCCAGGAGCCCATATTAAATGATTTGGACAAGAATTAAGCTAATCTGCTGCTAACAAGTACAAATATATGTTTAAGGCCGAAACCGGTTTGGCTCAGTGGTAGAGCATTGGTCTGTGGACTGAAAGGTCCCGGGTTCGATTCCAGTCAGGGGCATGTACGTTGGTTATGGGCACATCCCCAGTAGGGGGTGTGCAAGAGGCAGCTGGTCAATGTTTCTCTCTCACTGATGTTTCTAACTGTCTATCCCTCTCCCTTCCTCTCTGTAAAAAATCAGTAAAATATATTTAAAAAAAAAAAACTTTCTAGATAATTTAATGGAACAAAGCATGCATCTTTGCTTACTAAATATAAAAGGACTTAGTGTGTCTAAACACTTATCTGACATTAAAAACAGATATACAAACTGCCATTAAAATTTTTAGGCTTGCCCTAACTGGTTTGGCTCAGTGGACAGAGCGTCGGCTGGCGGACTAAAGGGTCCCAGGTTCAGTTCTGGTCAAGGGCATGTATCTTGGTTGCAGGGACATCCCCAGTAGAGGGTGTGCAAGCAGCAGCTGATCTATATTTCTCTCTCGTCAATGTTTCTATCCCTCCCCCTTTCTCTCTGTAAAAAGTCAATTAAATATATATACTTTTTAAAATTTAGGCTTTCCCTGTGGCTCAGTGGTTGAGCATAAAACCTATGAACCAGGAGGTCAATCAAGGTTCAATTCCCGGTCAGGGTACATTCCAGGATTGTGGACTTGATCCCCAGGGGGTAGTGTGCAGGAAACAGCCAATCACTGATTCTTTTTCATTGTTGATGATTCTCTCTCTCCCCCTCTCCCTTCCTCTCTGAAATCAATTTAAAAAAATATTAAGAAAAAAGAAAACCCTTAAAAACAAAACTTAGGCCTTAGTGTTCTACCACAGAGAAATGATCAAAGTTCTCTATCATAATTCATTTGATTTATCAAATATTAATATTCCTCATTTGAATTATTTGATTTAATAACATATTAGCCCAAAGAAATTACTGATTACATGTATTTAAGGCAAGCATTTATATTCATACAACATGCCATACTCTGAATTCTAATTTCTTTTGAAAACAGTATTTTGAAAAACCTTTCGGAGGCATAAAAGCACTTCTGATAATATTCATTAAATTTGAAGGCAAATACCTATTATTTTGTTACCAGTAGCCTGGTGTATGAAATTCATGAACATTAAAAGGGGATTAATTAGAGGAAATATTTTAATATTGTAATTTGCCCTTAATCTATAATAGAAGTGTCAGAGATTAAAGAAAATTAGTAAAATGTATATGAAAATCTTCTGTCAGAGTCTGGGACACACCAAGGGACCCAGAGTCAAGTCCCCGCCCACTCACGTGCACTCAAAATCACGCAAGACCCAGACCCAGCCACCCCCAGGCCTCCACACTGGGCTAGATGCAGACCCGGCTGGTCAAGCCCCTCCGGTGGGGAGCACAGCCTCAGGTACCCTGGCCCAGCACTGGGGCGGGGGGCACACCCTGAAGTCCCCCGTCAAGCCCCGCTGGGTGGGGGACATGGCCTGAGATCAAGCGCCTCTGGGTCAGGGGTTGTGGCTGAGGTCCCCCAGCCTGGCGCCAGAGCAGGAGCAGCCTGAGGTTCTCCCGCCCAGCACTGGGATGAGGTGCGCACCTTGAGGTCCTGCGTCAATCCCCGCTGGATGGGGGGCACAACCTCAGGTTCCCTGGCTTGGTATGGGGTGGGGGGTGCAGCCTGAGGTCCCATCAAGCCCCACAGTGGTGGGAGATGGGGGCACAGTGTCAGGTCCCTGCTGATTGCTTGTTAAGGCTCGTTAGGGAAACTCGGCCTCCACTGTGGGTGCAGCCATCTTGTGTTACAAAAATCCCGCCTCCACTGTGGGCGCCATCATCTTTGTGGTGGAGTGATGGTCGATTTGCATATTCCTTCTTTATTATACACTGAGTGGCCATTATGATCTCCGAAAGCATAATAATTGGCCACTCTGTGTGTGTGTGTGTGTGTGTGTGTGTGTGTGTGTATGTATGTGTATATGTATGTATATATGTATATGTATGACACCTGGTGCATGAATTCATGCATGGGTGGGTCCAGCCTGGCCAGGGGGAGGGGACATGGGCGGTTGGCCGGCCTGGCTGCTGGTTGAGGGGGCAATTTACATATTAACCTTTTATTATATAGGATATATACTGAGTGGCCAGATTATTATGTGTTCACAGATCATAATAATCTGGCCACTCAGTGTATATGATAGCTTTAAGGAGTTTTAACCCTAAAGGGATAAAACTAGAAAGCACTCACCTCTCCAAGATAGCATATCTGTTTATGTGCAACTTCAACAAAAACTTCTATTATGAGATTGACAGTCTCGGGAGTATTTTTGTAAACTTCCATCAATCCAATGCAATTGGTAAGGAAGTCCATTAAGAAATTAAAAAGGATCGCCACGTTGTCAATCTGGGTAGCCTCGGCAATGCCACATAGGGCCTCTAGGGTGGCAGTGATTTCCTGCTTGACCTCCTCTTGCTGGCACATCTGCTGAAAGTTTTCCTGATTTATCACCCTTAAGAACCGCTGCTGCAATGGCTGAAGAACCTATAAAAACAAAGCATGGGTTTTCTAAAAGCCTACCTTATTTTTTTCTTTATCTTTATTTCCTCCACTAAGAAAAAGTCACTTTCCAAAACATTTTTAACCGCTGGAGGTAGAAAAAGCACAGAAAACAAAGAATTCTGAACCATACACTATATTCCCCATTTTGAGGATCATCACAACTTCTGCGTGAAGTAGACATTACCTCACACCTGTTAGAATGGCTGTTATAAAAAAGACAAGAGATAAAAGCTGGTGACAACATGGAAAAAAGGGAACCCTCCTACAATACTGATAACTTTGTAAACTGGTGCAGCCACTGTGGAAAATAATATGGAGGTTTCTCAAAAAATTAAAAATAGAACTACCATATGACACAGCAATTCCACTTTTGGGTACATATTCAGAGGAAATGAAAACACTAATTTGAAAAGATATCTGCACCCACATGTCCATAGCAGCATTATGTACAATAGCCAAGACATGTAAACAGTCTAACTTTAAATGTCCATTGATGGATGATGAATAAAGAATTCTGTGGTGTATATACATGATGGAATACTATTCGGCCATAAAAAAAAACACACCCCAAAATATTCTCTATTGAAATAACATGGATGGACCCTGAAGGCATTATGCCATGGGAAATAAGTCAGACAGAGAAAGACAAACATTGAATGATTTAAATTATAAGTGGGATTACTAAAAAAACACAAACTCACAGAAAAACTTTTGTTGTTTCCAACAATAGGAGTGAGGAAATGGGGGTTTAAAGAAAGGTAGTCAAAAGGTACAAATTCTCAGTTATAAAATAAATATAAGCACTACGGATGTGATATACCATCAGTCACCAGCTTTTTGGACCTCGTGGACCACGGGTTGGCAACCACTGTGATATACAACATGATGACTATATATCACATAGAAATGCTGTTATGAGAATAAATCCCAAAAGTTATCACAAGGAAATTTTTCTTTTTTGTATCTATATATGATGGATAACTGACCTTATTTCACATTGTAGATAAGTCAACCCATTATGCTGTACACCTTAAACTTATACAGTAATGTAGGTATGTCAATTATATCTCAATATAGCAAAAATTGTAATTCATGGAAAAATATATATGCATGCTATCATCTCTCTCTCTCTTTCCTTAAAGCTAAATTACTTCCTTAAGTAATTTAGCTTTAAGGAAAGAGAGAGAGAGAAAGGAAAACTCACAGAACAACAACTTCAATGCCATCCACAAAATTCAACCACTATCCTCATTTCTTTCCAATAAAATAACTTCAAAATAGAAACTGACACTATGTTCTACAGGAATAGGCAAAAGTAATTTTACAGTTTGAGTACACAAAACAGAGTTTATTTTTATATTGTATTATCACTAGTGGCCTGGTGCACAAAATTCGTGGGGGGTTCCCTCAGCCCAGCCTGCATCCTCTCCAATCAGGGATCCCTTGGGAGACATCCCTCTCACAATCTGGGACCGCTGGCTCCTAACTGCTCACCTGCCTGCTTGCCTGATTGCACCTAACTGCCTCTGCCTGGCCGCCTGATCTCCCCTAACTGCCCTCCCCTGTTGGCCTGATCTTGCCCCCAACTCCCTCTGACTGCCTGATCTAGCCTCCAACTGCCCTCAGCTACTGGCCAATTTGGTTCTGATTAGTCAGTTTCTATGCCAGCCAGTGTCAAAAGCTTCACCTCCTAGGCAGTCATTGGCTACTCACACTTCACCCAGATTTGGTTCTGATTGGTCGGTTTCTATGCCAGTCAGCATCTCTGGGCCTATCAGCAGGTCCTGATCAGAAAGGCGGGGCTGATCAGCAGCCCAGGTGGAGGCCTGGAAAGAGAGAGGCAAGTGCTGATCAAAAGCTGCCACAGAGGCAACAGATCAGTCCCTGCTTCTCTCTTCAGGCCTCTCTCTGGCCCTGGTTCAGCATTCAGTGTGGGGCACCATGCCTGTAGCAGAAGCAGTCAGCGCTGATGCAGGACTGACGTCTGGTTGGGAGAGCCTTGGTGGTTACTGGTCATTATGACCCAGAGATTTTATATATTAGGATTTATTAATTATTGTATTATTTTCCATATGAACAACTATAAACCTACTTTTGCCCCACCCTGTATAAAGGCCTATTTTAGACTAGGCAGGATATGCTACCTCTTGCCCAACTACTCCATCACAACTATGCTGTCATTCAGACACAGCGATGGACAACATGTAAACAACTAAGAGTAATTGCATTTCAATACAACTTTGTAGGAACAGGTAGCATGCTAGATTTGGTCTGTGTGCTACAGTTTTCCAACTTCTGTTCTACAGGTTTAAGCCCAATAAAAGCACCTTCCTGCTTTTCTCCTTTTCAACTCCTCATAGCATAGAACATAACTATGGATATTCAGTCATGCCATAAGTATAAGAGTCAATAGACATATTCATGAAGGTAATACCTTAATTCTATTTAAAGCTGTATTTATAACAACACAATTATTTCAACTAAAATACATGGTCAGCCTGGTTTTTCTGGTTCTAAAGTTACAACTTCCTAACGTCTGCCCCTTTTAGTCTCAATTGGTAACTTACATACAATGCTAAGTCTTGGCTCCCAATTTAAAGCTTATTATGTGAGGCAATGTCCATGGTGGCTACTATGAGTTGAATTATGTCCCTGCAAAATTGGTGTGTTGAAGTCCAAATTGGGAGAAACTCAGAGCATGGCCTTAAAGAAATAGGGCTATTTTCAGATACAATTAGTTAAATTAAGATCAGGTCATTATTACAGACCTCCTAATCCATTACAACTGGTGTCCTTATAAAAAGGGGAAATTTGAACACAGGCAAGCAAACATGGAGATTTTCATGTGAAGATAAAGACAGGTGTTGCAGTGGTGTGTCAACAAGACAAAGAATGCTGAAGATTGCCAGCAAAGCCCTGGAAGTAAAGAGAGGCGTGGACCACATGATCCCTCGCAGCCTCAAACATAACCAACCCTTGGACACCTGATCTCAGACTTCCTGCCTTCAGAACAGTGAAACAATGAATTTCTCTTGTTTAAGCCGCTAAGTTTGTGTTACTCTGTTATAGCAGCCTTAACAAACTAATACAATGGTTTATTCGTATCTCCTTGTTCAAAACAAAAAAACATTTCACTGATTCTTAATAAAGAACTAATATACCACTTCAGATTCTCATTTGAGTTGGGGAGAAAAATATACCTAAACTGCAGAACACTGCAGAATATTGATAATTAATATTCAATGTCATCACAAGCAGATACGAACAAATCATAAGATGATATTTACAAAATAATAAGCTTCAATCTATACATTAGAAGGGAAAAAATACAGAAAAGCAATGACCAATGTTTATATCTCCAGGGACTATTTTATGGCAATACATAGATAAAACAACAAAGTTCCACCAGAGGGTGCTATCATTATCAGGGGAACTGTTACCTCAGTCCAATACTGTTGTTTGGTTTCTGTGTCCATCTGTGCAAAACCTCCCAGGACAAGGGCCTTCATCAGCGTCCTCTGCACCGGACTGGACAGAAAATTCAGAGGGGGGCTTCGGGTCGCAAACTGTTTAGCTAAATTCCACCAGTTTTCACACTGGATTACTAGGTTTGCCCTATGGGCAAAAACAACAAAAGAAAGATGTACCACTTAGACTGTACGTAAACTAAGTAAACAAAATGGAAGGTGCCTGGATTTAATTAATTTTATTTATTTAATTTTACTGATTTTAGAGAAAGGAAGAGGGAGAGACAGAAATATCAAAGGTGAGAGAGAATCATTGATCAGCTGCCTCTTGCACGCTTCCTACTGGGATCGAGCCCACACCCCAGGCATGTGCCCTGATCGGGAATTGAATCATGGCCTGGTTGATGGGTTGATGCTCAATCATTGAGCAGCATTGGCCAGGCTAGATTTAATTGATTTTCAAGTAAATGGGGCATAGAATTGAGAGACCCACAAGCTTGCATTCAAATTCCATTGGTAATTTGACAATATAAAATGTATTTAACCTCTCTTATTAATTAGTTTCCTGATTTGTAAAATAGGGATTACAATAATAATAACAACCTTACATTTCATGGTGAGATTGATGATGTGAATAAATGGGATACTTTTTTTTTCTTCTTTTTAAATGGGATATTTTATATGAAATGCTTGGAAAAGTACTTAGTATATTGTAAGAAATCGGTAAGTATTATAGTAGCCAATGACAATAGTAATAACTATATTCCTATGCAATAAGAAAAAGAAAAATATTTCCAGAATCTGTTGTAGAAAGCTAATTACTAAATTATCAGTTTTTCTCATCTTTATAATGGGATAATACTAATAGGATACCTAAAAAATCAAATGAAACTATTTTATAGTGAAGTTTTTAAAAACTTTAATGCATAAATAAATTACTAAATTAAATACTTATGGTATTCATAAGATACTTTCATAACGAATCCTGGAACAGTCAATGCAACCTTCACTTGTAACACAGGGAAACCCTTTTTGCACTTGTAATAACATGACACTGTTTTAAAACACACCGCTCCAAAAATGCAGGATCTACCTAGACCTGAGGACCAACTGTTTGTCATTTGCAAAGTATACACTAAAAAGCAAGCTCATTAGACACAGACACATAGCCTGATTCTTACAATCAGCTTACCTTTCTCTTCTTTCCACCAAAGTGACAAGAAGCTGCACAGTGTCACTTGCAAGGTCCTGCTCACTACTCCACACCGAGAGATTGCTGATGACTTTCTGTAAGAGGTAGCCAATAATCCACTGAGAACCCTCAGTATCTGCTCCAAATGCTGTACTGAATGGTAGACTTATCTTAAAGAGGAAACCAATATTTTAGGTCAGAAAGAATGATCAGCTAAAAAAAAAAAATCCAAAGAAAAATCAAGCTGAAATCAGCATTTAAATATTAAGTGCTAAATAAAAATTCACATCATTTTATAAATTCATATCTGTAAATCCAAAAGAGACATCCTCAATCCACTTAATGTTTTCCAATGTGATTTTTATTTTATTTTTTTATTCCAAGTTACAAAAGCAAGTCTGATCTCAATATAGCTGCTCATTCACCCCAGACTTTGCCTTTTTATGTACCACAATATCCTTGAAAGGCAAAGGGTCCAGGCTTTTCTTTCCATTCACAAGTTTGGAGCTCTTTTCCAATGTGATTTTCCTGTTCACTTTAATTGTTGTTATTAACACACTAACATGATATTTACACAAATTCAAAGAACGTAAGTTTATCCATTCTCAAACAGAAATCTATAATTTAATATTAGTTAAAGTATCGATACACTGAATTAAAGGATGTGCTGTAAGAAAAGTTATTAAAATAGCATGCCATTAATGCAGTTCTCTTCAATGTGGAAAATGTTCAGCTCTTAGTCACATTTTTATGATAAAATTTCCAAGAAAATGTTCTCATTTCTATAATTGCCATAATCATAAATCAAGATGAAGTTAAATAGTTTTATATTCTGACCTGATCATATAGCTTCTCATCCACCAGGAGATAAGTCTTTGCCCAGCGTTTTAGAAACCAAACAATATCTTTGCCCATTTGAGGGCTTAGCAGATCAGTGAGATCTGCTCTTATTGCTCGAGACTCAACTTCCGAAACTCTGAGAACGGCAGATAACAGCCTATGGGTAGAAAAAGAAGTCATTATTCTTCGTTTATTAGTTAATTTTTTCATAAAAGTCCTTTTTTTGTTTCCCAACTCTCTGGATTTAGGCCAGATTATACTTGAAATTTTCATTAATAAGGCTGTAGACAAATGTCCTACTTTGTTGCTGATCTTTCAGAAAGCAGCAATCAAGACAAAGAAATGGAGACGAGTTGTACCTGCATTACTATATTCAGAAATTTTTCAGATTCAAAATGGAGAAATACATAAAATTAAAAGTTCAAAGTAGCCTTGGCCAGTGTGACTCAATTGGTTGAGCATTGTCCTGTATACTAAAAGGTTGCCAGTTCGATTCCCCATTAGGGCACATGCCTAAGTTTCGGTTGCCAGTCAGTAGGCAACTGATCAATGTTTCTCTCTCAAAAGAATATTTTTCTTTCCCTTTCCCTCTCAAGTCAATAAAAACATATACAATACAATAAAATAAAATAAAATAATAAAATAAAATTTCAGAGTAAATGCTAACATTTTCGGCACATCATCATTACTTAACAGTGTCATGATTAACATTGATCATTTTATGGTGCAGGTCTGATAATAGGCTTATCCAGAATGTTTTGAATATTGAGTCCTGTCTTTAAATCTGTTAGTCCTGCCCCAGCCAGATGGCTCAATTGGTTGGAGTGTCATCCTGTTCATCAAAAAGACTGCAAGTTCGATTCCTGATCAGGGCACATACCTAGGTTGCAGGTCTGATCCCCAGTAGATACGCTTAAGGGAGACAACCAACCAATGTCTGTCTGTCTGTCTGTCTCTCTCTCCTCTCTCCTCTCCTCCCCCCCTTTGTTTCTCTCCTCCTCCCATTCCCTCCCCCCTCTCTTACAAACACAAACATGCATATCCTTGGATGAGGATTAAAAAAAAATCTGGCCGAAACCAGTTTGGCTCAGTGGATAGAGCATCGGCCTGCGGACTGAAGGGTCCTGGGTTCGATTCTGGTCAAGGGCATGTACCTTGGTTGCGGGCACATCCCCAGTGGGGGGTATGCAGGAAGCAGCTGTTCGATGATTCTCTCTCATCAATGTCTCTAACTCTCTATCCCTCTCTCTTCCTCTCTGTAAAAATATCATAAAATACATATATATATATATATATATTTTTTTTAATCTGATAGTCCTATTCATTTCCTATCAAACTTGATTCTTAATGTTATTATAAAATTAAAATCTTACTAGAAAAATCATGTACATGGTGTATGCAATGTCCTTTCCTATACTACATAACTCACAACACAGCATGACGTGCAGATAAATAAAAAAAGCATTTGTTTCAGGATGGGATTAGCAGAACATATAACTAGACATGACATATATTTAACTTGCCTTTAGTTAAACGGCAAAGAAGCAAAGATTTAATTGAAAGAACCCATTACTATACCATTTTGTGGTATCAGTGCTAAGAAAGGGATATTCTGATCTCACCCTAATCACAGGAAGTCTGGCCATTACTTCCTACTACTCTCAAGATAACTGAACTGTATTTTTGTGATGAAATCAGACATTTCAGTTCTTTATCCAGCTCGATGCCCCAGAAATACTAGATACTACTGACCACTCTGCCCTTTTGAAATGTCTTCCCTTGTACCACACTTTACATATTTCCCCTAATTTGTTTCTTACTCTTCCTCAGGTTATGATTTCCTCTTCTCCTCTGATGCCCTTCTTCTTTTAAACAGTTGGTTTCTAAGATTCTGTCCCTAGAACTTCTTCTTTTTCACTATATATACTCCCTGCACCACCAGTGTTCAAACTTTAAAAAAATTATTTTAGGGTGCAATAATGTCATGACAACTTCACAATACATTAAAATTTTCCTATAACAATAAATAGTTTTGGTGAGATAGAATTTGATGTTTTAAAGAAGCTGTTCTTCTCTAAAACAAAGAAATCTCATTAAGACATCTAGAATTTTTAAAAAAAGAATAAATATTATAATTTTCAGCCTAATAGAATCTGAAATAGCTGGAGTAGCCATTTAAATTTATGCACTGGAATTTAATTACCATACTCACCACCATCCATTTGAAAAATAAACAAGTTTTTAACAGTTGGACACTTTACATTGTTTCTTTAACTCCTTAACTTTTTATTTCATTCCCCTGCAGATTATTATCCTAATATAATAAATTTTCTATTTATTTTATTAATCACACAATATGCTTCTCTGAAACAAATGTCTAGCTACTAAATATAATTTTATATAATTTCCAATGATCGTAAGACTTTTAAAGTGTCTTCTGTGTTATTACAATACTTAGTAGTCCACAATTGCACAAAATATCAAATACACATTTAAGTTATTAAACATAAATGTTTAAATGAAATTAATGTAGCAGGGTTTTATTTTTCAAAATAAATTTATGTACCTGTTAAAAATATTTCTTACTACTAGAATGAGACAGAGTTGAATATAATTCGGCTCCTGTTTTGCATTTTAATAGATAAAAAGACTGTGAAAACTCATTCATGTAAGGAAATTGAAGGCATTTTGAAAATAACAGGGCCCTAATTTATCTGAACTTCTGCAAGTTATATGCCAAAAATCACTAGAGCTTTATCACCAAAAACTATTTTTAATAACATAATAACTGACAGGTTTATTAAGTCATTCTTCAGTGTTATTTAAAGCAAAGGACTGGAATCCTCCTGACTTATAAAATTACTGGTTTACCATTATTCTAGTCACTCAATCCTAATACCACACTATGTGGAACTCTGTAGGTTTCTACACACCTGCCAACCCATCACAGTAAGACTTGGGATGAAGAATTTTGCCCTTTTTTTGTAAAATGGGAGCAAGGTCAAGAAGAGTACCACAGGAAGATGAACCCTGGGCTCCGGAGCCTGTCCTCATTCCTGCCTCTCCTCACCCCTCTTGATCAACCCCAAAGTTCTCAAGAGCTGCCCCTGAAACACCTGCTGTCCATATGCCCTTTCTCCATCTTCACTCCACTAATGAAAATGCTTCCTAACTTACCAGCATCCTTTATATCCAGCTTCTACGCTGCAATCTTCTAATAAAACAATCTGATTAGCTCACTTCCCTGTTTCAAACCCTTTCAACCCTTTTAATCCAACTTCATTGGCCCTCCCTATTCTCCACCTTCAAACACCTCTCCCCTCTTCTCACTTCTGGCCTCTTTGCTTGGCTGCTATCAATGCCTGGAATACTATTCTCCTTCCTCTTTATGCTGCAAGTTCCCATCCATCCTCCAACTGTCAAGTTTAAATGCCACTTCTTTTGAGGAGCCCTTCCCTTGGTCCTCCAACCTTAACTCTATCACCCTTCTATCACATTCTCAAAGATAAAACAACTGAAAACATTACAATGTTGTTTTAGTTGTTGCTATCCCAAGATTGATGCCCTGGTCCTACTACAGTTTCTTCAGCGTGCTATCTGAACATATTTTACATTTCAGACAGTGTCCTAAATAACCCAGTCTTGGTATTATGGGAAATATGGGAATACGTTCTCAATTCATAAACCAGAAATCAGTACAGTGAGTCAAAGTCTCCCTGAATTCAGAATAACTATGTGATTGTTCTCCTCAGTACGGGGTATGGCGGTTAATCTCACCAGAGTGGCAATGCTTAAACACACTAAGTACTTGCCGTCCTTGTTTATATCAAGGCTTCTCCAAGTTTTATCTTCTTTCATATATCAGATTCTTTAACTTCTCACAACGTCTATTATCACTCTGGTCTGGAATATCATTTTTCTCTGGATGACAGCAACTAGCATCTTCACTGATCTCCTGCTCTCACCTCTGCCTGAGGTAGTTTACCCTCAATGCAGCACAGTCACCTCTTCTGCTCAAAACCCTACAAGAGCACCCATTCCAGTCAGATCAGAAACCACAGAGGCTCAAAGACTACTGATCCCCTTTATTTTTCCCTCTAACTCCATCTGCTACAATTCTTTCTCACTCTGCTCCATCCAAAGTAGTGGTTCCAGCTGTTCTGATGATTGCCTGTGGTGGGACTCAGCATCTGCTGTTCACTGTGCAATGTTCTTCCCGGCCTCCCTGGCCCCTCACCAACCCTAAGCCTTGGCTCACGAGACACCTTCTAAAGAAAGCCAACATTAACTCACTATTAAAAGACAAACAGTCCCTGAGTCTGCACTCTTGATCCCCGACCTTGATCAGCTTCTTACCACAGCGATTATGGTCTCCTAACATACGACATAATTAACTGTCTCTCCCCTACAAGGAGCTTCAAAAGGGAAGCAATTTGTCTGTTTTGCTCATGAATGCATCCCAAATGCCTTGAATAGTGCCTGATATATTGGAGGTATTCAACTATTAGTCAAATAATGTCAAGAAGTGTAAATTAGTTTTTCAATCAAATAAGGAATATTTCTCCTATATATCATTCAATTTCATATTAATTTTCTGGATAAAAAAAAAAAAGACAATTTTTTTTAGTGGTTGTTCCATCTCTCACCTTCTCCCTCCATAGTTTATGCTCTCAGATACCAAAATGTTTTGCTTCCATAGTGATACCTGGAACTGCCAAAAATTGAAAAAGCACTAAAAATACAAGGAAAGCATTCCTGATGGTATTGCCCAGACAAAAAATGTGATAGTACTGCTCAGGCAAAAAATATCATGTGACCGCATGCTGAAATGAACTGCCTTTGAATTTCCATTCACCAGGAATCAAATCAAAGCAAAAGCAATGATTTTCAGACACTTATCATCCTAAAAGAAACAGAGAAAACTTTTTCAATAGAGCCTTAATATTTTATTTTGAAGAAGAGAATATAACAATAAAGGAATAAATTCCCAAACATTTCCTTGGCATTAGCTTATGAGTTCAATTTTTTAAAGATCATATTTTCTACTGCACAAACTTAAATGATATCCATTTATTTGGGCGTTAAGTAAAAAGAGTAAGGGGGACAGCACCCTGTGTGAGTTACTGATTTTGCAACTGTTATTTCATTAACGACATTTCTGCCTGAAACTCAAATTCAAATAAATACACTGAAATTTATAATGCTGTTTACAAATTCACTTTTTGGAAGACATGTAGTTCAGACTTATACCTCCTTAATGTCACCATTAAGAAGTAATGAAGCCGAGTAGATAGAGCATTGGCCTGCAGACTGAAAGGTCCCAGATTCAATTCTGATCAAGAGCATGTACTTTGGTTGCGGGCACATGCCCATAGGTGGGTGTGCAGGAGGCAGCTGATTGATGTTTCTCTCTCATCGATGTTTCTAACTCTCTATTGCTCTCCCTTCCTCTCTGTAAAAAATCAATAAAATATATATATATATATATTACAATAAAAAAAGAAGTAATGAAAAAGTTGCCATTATTACCGTTTCCCCGAAATAAGACAGTGTCTTATATTAATTTTTTTCTCCCAAAGTTGCGCTAGGTCTTATTTTCAGGGGATGTCTTATCTTTCCATGTGCTAGGTCTTATTTTCGGAGGATGTCTTATTTTCGGGGAAACACGTTATTAGAAAGATCAAAGTGAATCCTTTCATTTGAGGCACATAGTCTTTTACCTTCACTGGCAGGGCTTTCAAATTTTACATATTCAGGGTAAATATTTCTATTTTGTAAGATAACAACCCGTTTTCCTTAAGAAAGACACTAATGTATAGTTTTACTTTATGAACAATAAATACTTAACCTTCATTGGATCTCTAATAATCTCATATTCTGTTTCTTGCATTTAGTGTGCCTGTCCCTGTATCAATACTGCTTTCTGATGAACATAATCACAGTGCATTAGAGCACATGTCCCCTCAAAGTCTCCCTGAATTCAGAATAACTCTATGATTGTTCTCCTCAGTACGGGGTATGGCGGTCAGTCTCACCAGAGTGGCAATGCTTAAACATACTGAGTACTTGCCGTCCTTGTTTATATCAAGGCTTCTCCAAGTTTTATCTTCTTTCATATATCAGATTTATAAGGTATCTATCACTTGAGTCATCTACCCATCAACTCAGAACTTAATAAACAGTATAAATTACAAGAGCACAGCTATAGAGTTCATATTACCTAATCACAGAATCTGTTCTGTTGTACCCTGGGATGGAAGAAGCCTTTTCTCCTGGAGATCCCAAAATTTGAAGTGTTGTATTAATGTCAACTTCAGATGAATGCTTAATGGAATATTCCATTATTTCTGGAGGTATTAGCGGAGTCTCTCCCTGAGTATCATCAGCTAAGAGGTAGCCTTCAGTTTAAAAAAAATTAAAAATGAACACTTAACAAATCTACATTTATCAAATTGCACTATAAATGTTTTGTTTTATTTGATTTACATACATCATATAAATTGATGTAAATGTAAATTATAAATGTAATATGTTATATCAAGTTTGATGAGAAAAAACTTTCTATTTCTAGATAATTAACACAAAAAAAAAAACACACAGGAAAAACCAAAGGACAAGTGTTTTATTCAACAATTTTATCACTATACTGACATGTAGGCCTTTTAATTTACTACCTTTTAATAATTTTCAGTAATATATTCTGTAAAGTTAGTAAGAATGCTACTATTATCTATATCAAAACTCAATAGCCTTTTAAAAATTAAGATTTTCCCTGATTATTTAAAATACAGAAACACTAACAGTATGGTTAAAGAAGAAGACTCTAAAAGTCAGACTGCTTAGATTTTCATACTGGCACCAAAAATTAATAGCAGTCTAACCATGGGCTAGTTCCTTACAACTCTTTAAGTCTCAGATTCTTCATTTATAAGAGGATAATAATAATGACAATAATAATAATACCTAAAAATAGTACCAATTCTGTGGGTTACAATGAGCTCTACATAAAATATTTGGTATGCAATTGGCACTGAATACATGTTAGCCAATATATATGTATATATATATATATATTTTTTAATGCATCTGTAGCTGTAACATAACAGTTGTTGACAAATTTCATCCAATACTATGTATGGACTATTATTTTAAATACATAAAATTTATTTTTAAGGCTTAAACTGCTCAGCTGGCAATTACATTTTTAAAAAGAAATAACCAACCAACCTGTAACTAAAATAAGCCAGTGAATATCTTCATATAGCTCATCAAGTATTTTGCTGTCAATGGTGCTTGAACCAGGTGAAGCAAGTAACTGCTGCTGATGTCGCTGTAACTGACCATGGAGCCTTGTTACTCTTTCTTCTAATAAACTAAAAGAAGAAAAAATAATAGTTTCATAAAGTTTAATAAGCAAAGACCTAGAATAACATAATTTCCATATATTAACATAAATTAAAATGTTGCACAAAAATATATATACAAAATTATTATTATTATACACAACTGTTCTCACAACACTACAGAACTGTGATTTATCATTTATAACAGAATTAAAGACCTAAGCGGTTTGGCTCAGTGGATAGACGGCCTGTGGACTGAAGGGTCCCAGGTTCAATTCTGGTAAAGGGCATGTACCTTGGTTATGGACACATCCCCAGTAGGGGGTGCGCAGGAGGCATATGATCGATGTTTTTCTCTCATCGATGTTTCTAACTCTCTATCTCTCTCCGTTCCTCTCTGTAAAAAGTCAAGTAAAAATATTTTTAAAAAAAACCCACACAGAATTAAAACAGGGCTTTAAAAATAATCAAGGTTTAAAACAGGCATTTGAAAACTAGATATCCCGAGTTTTTATTGACATGGTCAAATCATGTCTTAGACCATGTTTCCATAATCTCTCTGCCATCTATGCTGTAGTACCTGGCTCTAATGTACAAGCCAATGACTGCAACTACAAGTGTGTTTCTGTCCATTTGCTCCAGTGTGCATATGGGGAAGGGGTGTATAAAGTGCTCTCCAAGGAGGTGTAAGTACAGAGTATTGCTCCATAGGTTCTCTGGCCTGTGTGTACCTTGTCAGAAGAGGTATACAGTGCTCTGCGGCAACTCTTCCTAGCATTCCTACACTGGCTAGTTGATCTGAAAACTGGTCTCGGTCATCCTCTTGAAGTTCACTTATTTCTTCTTCTTCACGAGAGGCCACACCATTGGCAGTCTGTTTTCAATGAGAGAAATAATGAGTAATGAGCTGTATGTCCTCATCCATAAGCCACGCACTTCTGTTGCATTATGAAATAACTTCCTAATTTCACGTAAGAAGGGGAGCTAGCCAAAGCTAACTTTCAGTGTAGCTGTCTACAGACCCCTATCTAACTGTGCTGACAGCCTTACAGTCACTCAATGAGGAGGAGGGGGCAAACACAGAGGAGAATGAAGCGAAGGATATAAATCCATAGAACACATATGTAAACACAGTTAACTGCCCACTCACAACCCACCTCCCACACCATAGAATTTAACTTCTGTCATTAAGAAGATCTGACATCTTTAAGATCTACAATCTGTGTAAACACAAAGTTATAAATACCACTTGAAAACAAGGAAGACAAAGATGGGTAACTGAAAACTGAAGAGAAAGGAAGTTAAACTACTAGCCACATACCACAAAATATGGTGCATTTAGACAAGGGACCACTATAGTTCTCTAATGTTCTCAGCAAATATTCTGAAGAATTCAGTCCAAATTTCTAGCATTACACAATGTACAAGAGGGTAAAAACCAACAAAATAGAGCCTATACTGAAACAGATTTTTAATCACGATCTGGCTTAAAACTTACCAAATTCCTTGTGCCATCTGGAGCAGCCAGGTGGCATTGAATATAGGAATTGAAGACTTGAACTGCATGCTGGGTAAAAAAGCCTTTATGGAAATGTTTGTCATCTTGGACCAAAGTCAGCCAGGACTCCAGCAACTTGTCATATGCTTCCATGTAAACCATGTCATCTTTATCAAGCTAAGAGAAAAGAAGTTTTACAAAACAATGACCAGAAACATATTAACAAGAGTCAAATAGCTATACATATAGTTTTATAAGTTTTTCCTTTACTAAAGGTTCCCAACTATTACTCAAAATCTAGCTGAGTTCAATCTAAAATTAATCAATTCAAACATTGCAGTAAAAATGTGGAGCCTTTGAATTAAACTTTCTAAAATATAACTTGATCTAAATAAATCACAAAAAGGAACCAATGTTTATTTTTTAAGAAGATTAGCTAGTTCAGTGTCTTTGTGGAATTTTTTTTTCAAATGAAAATAATATGAACATTTTTCTGCAGTCAAAAGACCTGTTAGAATGAAAATATAAAATGTGTACTTACTACACACTTTTAAAGAATTTATTAAAAAGGGAGAATGAGCCCAGCAGGTGTGCTGTGGCTGAGCACGGACCTATGAACCAAGAGATCATGGTTTCCCGGTCAGGGTATATAACCAGTAAGAAGCCTGCAGGAGACAGCCGATCAATGATTCTCTCTCATCATTGATGTTTCTCTCTCTCCCATCCTCTCTGAAATCCATTTAAAAAAAAAAAAAAAAAAAAAAAAAAAAAAAAGGTATATGTTTTAAAAAATGGAGAATGAGCCCTGGCCGGTTTTATTCAGTGGAAAAAGTGTCAGCATGTGGACTGAAGGGTCCTGGATTTGATTCTGGTCAAAGGTAAGATACCTTGGTTGCAGACTTGATCCCTAATCCTGGTCAGGGCATATGCAGGAGGCAACCAATCATTGTGTCTCTCTCGCATCAATGTTTGTGTCTCTCCCACTCCTTTCCACTCTCTCTAAAAATCAATGAAAAAATATCCTCGGGTGAGGATTAACAACAACAAAATGTAGAGTGATCACTAGCTTAATCAGCATACTTAAGAACTAGATGCCCTGTGCATGAATTTGTGCACAGAAGGGGTACAGCTGGCCCACCCTGATTAGGGCCAATTGAGCCTAAATCGGCAATTAGACATCCCTCTCACAATCCAGGACCACTGGCTCCTAACTGCTCACCTGCCTGCCTGCCAGATCGCCCCTAACCATCTCTGCCTGTTGGCCCCTACCTGTCCCCTCCCCATACCAACCTGATGGCCCCCAACTGTTTTTCCCCTCACCTCCCTGCCAACCTGGTCACCCTCAATTGCCCCCCCGTGCAGGCCTGGTCACCCCGTGCAGCCTGCTGTTCAACTGTCGTCTGGTTCATGACAGCCCCTGGCTTTTTATATATTAAGATGATGTGGTGAGCCCAGCTGGTGCTGCTCAGTGGTTTAGCATCAACTCAGGAACCAAGAGGTCACCAGTTTGATTCCTACCAGTTTGTAGGCTCAAGCCTCAGGAGGCAGTCAATCAATGATTCTCTCTCATTGATATTTCTCTCTCTCTCTCTCCCTTCATTGCTTTCTAAAATCAATAAAAACATTAAGAAAAAAAAAGAAAAAAAAAAAAAAAAAAAAAAAAAAAAAAAAAGAATGTGGACCCTATCCAGTTTGCCTCAGTGGATATAGTATTGGCCTGTGGACGGAAGGGTCCCGGGTTTGATTCTGGTCAAGGGAATGTACCTCAGTTGCAGGCTCGACCTGGGAGGCAACTAATTGATGTGTCTCTATCACACTGATATTTCTCTCTCTGTGTCTCTCCTCATCCCTCCCTTCCATTCTCTCTAAAAATCAATGGGAAAATATCTTTGGGTGAGGATTAATAAAAAATAAACTTTCCCTCATAAAAAAAATTGTGGGGAGAACTTCACAGACATTCCTTAACATTTTATAATTTTTTTTTAAAGCAATAGGGTATACAGAGGAGTCTGAGGAAGATGTTGAGGCCTTCCTACTTAACCCTTTGCACTCCGCTGTCCCCTCTCAGGGGACATCGGAATTCTAGCATATCACTCGGACGTCCCCTCTCAGGGGGGACATTGCAGTTAATTAGTGATTACGTGGAATTGAGTTAATTCAACGCACGTGTCCGCCGCAAAGTAGCGTCGAGTAGCTGGTAGCCAATGTCCAGAATGGTTCGGAGTGCAAAGGGTTAATTATAATCTAGGTATATAATCTGTGTATCAGTTTTTTCATCACAAATTCACTAGATGACCATTCAATGATACTCAGAATTCTTAGTGTCAAGCACTAGGCTTAGAGTAAAAAAAAAAAAAAAACCAACATAAATAATGTACCATTCATGCTTTTAAGCTTTGTCCAATGGGGAAGAGTAAGAAACGAACAGAAAATACAATAAAGGCCATCATAAGCAGCAAACATAGATTTCCAGGTTATTTTGTAAAAACAGGCATCTCTCATTAATAGTTACAAATAAAGAGTCTTTGAATTATGTATACATTCACTCTTAAAAAGGTTTGCGCACAAACCACCATTTCTGGCATTCTGTTAATATGTAATAAACCTAGAAATGCTAAAGGTCTAGAGACCTAATCTGTAACTTGCTTTTCTGGTTTCTTCAACAAATAGACTGGCCTAACCTACAAATGCAGAACTCTGGAACCTTCCTAAGAGAGTACTTTCGTCAGTTTGTGGATAACTCAAAAAAGAAAAACGCTGGAAGATCTACGTCAGAAAGTATTCCAGACTCATCTGGACCACCAAATACTACCACTAGCTCATGACTTCTAAGCATCAGGTAAACTGCTGCCAGTTAATTATTTCCTTGTGCCTTCAGCTTTCATTAATCCACAGACTACAAAGAAAAAATGGTTATTTTCTGGGTTAAATAAGCCTACAAAATTAAAAAAAAAAATTTTTAAGTTATTTTTTGAAAATTTACTTAAGAATGAAGGGAAAATTAAGAGAACTTCCATAGATAATTTTTAATAAGAATTTAAACATAGCAAACCTAATTTTTATTCGATATGTTTCTGGCCTTGAAACAGTTAGGGGCCATACAGTTTACCAGTATGTCACCAGTAGATTCTGCAATTTTCAGTAAAATCAGGTACCACAACCAATATACCATAGGATAATTTTATGAAACAATATTTTTCGTGAACTTGCTGTATACTGAAAACGGACAACATTCTTTTAATGTAACTGAACATAATCATCCTGTAAAAACTCCATTCTTATTATTTGTGGTATGTATATATCTATAAAATTGTTGCATATTCTGAATTAGTGAATACAGGGTTAAGAGTTCCTTCTATTTTTCACAAGGTACAGGTAAACAAATCATCACCTTGTTTTGTGTTTGTTTATAGTCACTCATTTAATATACATTGTTGATTCATAAACAATAAACTCATAGCCAGCAATGCTGTAATTCATTCATGAATAAAGCTTGTCTGCATCTGTTCACATCACAGCCTCCTTTTTTTCTGGAACAGCCTTCAGCAAAATGCGGACAGGCATTTTAAAAAGTGAAATCATTCAGTCACTGCATAAGAAAAACTTCAATATCTTATGACAAAAATAGGGAATGGCCCATTTCATACAAAAATAATGTATCACTGGAGACCATGAAAGGACACTTGTTTGCAGTATAAGGACTGAAACAGGAAGGCAGGGCAGCAAAAATGAAATTGCCTTATTAGACCTCAGGAGGGAACAAGTGAGCCAAACGATTCTTATTATTCATCACTCTGTATGTACCTGCCTGTGAATGATGGTGAAAGTGCTTCCAGCTCTGATTTTGGAATTACAAATAGATTTTAGCAATGGGGCAAATTTGCAAATATGGAATCTGCAAAATATGAGGATTAATTATACTTATCTCTAATAGGTTCTGATTGCTGGTTCTTTTTGCTCATGCATCATCAACATGCATTACCCTTTTGAAAACTTAGATAGCTTACAATTTTCATGAAGGACAGTTAAGTTCTTGGGTCCATAAATTCGATAACATATTTATTAAGATATATAAATACCAATGAAAAGGATCAATTCAACCAATTTTTTCATTTCTATCTAATGTTTCCTTCTAACCACTGTACATACTGCTATAAGAACTAATCCAATTATAAACAGTAGTAAGTACATTTTGTTGCGTAAATATAAAAAATAAATAAGCACTGTCAACATCCTTTAGCAAAATATGACGGTCCAGCCCTGACCTGCATGACTCAATGGTTACTAGAGTGTTGGCCTGCGCATCAGAGTGTCACAGGTTCAATCCTCAGTCAACTGCACATACCTGGGTTGCAGGTTCAATCCCCAGCCATGGTCCAGGCTTGTGTTGGAAGCAACCAATCAGTGTGTGTGTGTGTGTGTGTGTGTGTGTGTGTCCGCTACCCTCCCTTCTACGCTGTCTAAAAATCAATTGCGGGGGACGGGGAGGGGGGGGACTATATCCTCGAGTAAGGATTTAAAAAATGAAAATAAGTTAAGTAAGTAAATAAATAAATAAAATGTGATAGTCCAAATTCTTGTCACCAAGTATTGAATGAAGTTTCCATGTGCTATGACAATGCCATATTTTCTTTTTGCTTTGGAAATACACTGTTTGCTTATGAATTCTTAGTGATAATTTAGGGTACAATCAGGTAGAACTCAGATTTCACTTATACTATCATTGTCACCATCATTAAAGAGCCCACAGTGCTGTTATCGCTTTACATTCATTTTCTGATTTATTTTTCTCTCAGTGAAATATATTATTCTGCAAAGTTCTTTTACTCTGAGCAGAAAATGAAAAATTCTGAATTCCATAGGATGGAATTCAATGAAACTTTAAAAAAAAAGACACTAAAAGATATCATCTCCAGACTTCCTTTTATAGCTTCTTGAAAGGTCATGCCATACTTTGAAAAATGTAGTTCAAAAGCTGAAAGTAACCAATAGCTGTTTATTTAATGGTAGTGACTGAGTTTACTAAAATCATCCTTTTAGATTATTTCATCATTCTCTTACTTCTTATTATTTTAGACTTTTTAAAAATTATAGCTGAGAATTGATGAGTAATTGTGAAATATTCCTGACATAATAAAACAGCCAAATATTTCAAGATCCAGGAGAAATCAGATCAT